AAAGCAAATGCTGTTGAGACTTATTGAGTGACTTGTTGTTGGGTAGAATTGTCTATCTGGAAAGGAAGGATGGATGGGGGAGTAAAGTATGGAATCAGGGATCAGGCCATTTCTTATACCTCACCCAAACTCCAAAGGCAAAGATCACATTGGAGGAGCTGCTAAACACAAAAGGAAGAAAGAAGTTTGAAGATTTTTCTGCTTCTGAAAAAGTACACACTTTCCTCTTTTGAACTATCCACATAATAACTTCAGCTCTACTTTTCCTAGTTTGCAGAAACCACTTACATGGCAGTACTACTATAAATTGTGCAATTTTCCTCATATCAGACTTGTTTTTCTCTATATCTGGTTCCTCAGGAAACCTGAACTTTATCTACGTGTCTGATATGCACCCTGTCTCCATCAGCTGGCATTCAATTGCAGCTCTAAATTCAGAGTCAATACAATGCACTGATGTTTCATTTACCTGAGCTGGGCGCTTTTATCCCATAAACCTAAAAAGTAAACAATCTTATTTTGTTGTAATTGAGAGGATGAGGAGAAGACAGATCTACATTTCCACTAAGGTAGCCAAAGAACGCTCACATGAAAGGACAAAGGGAGAGGGGCCGGCAAGAGTCTTGGCACTCTTTATAAGGAAGACGCACTCGTTATGGAACAGGATATATGTGGCAGTGAATTGACTGGGGACTCGCTGGGACATCTCCAGAAAGTAAATCATGGGTTTCAGCACAACTAACGGGATGAAATAGGCATCTTTTTTCTCACCAGTGTGAAGGATTAGAAGTCACTCCTAGGAATAGAAAAGGACATTCTCTGGGGATAGTCATGATGTATGATTTTTAAGGCAGGAATAAATTCCATTGTCCTTCCCAGAAGACAGCAAGAATTATTCAAGGTGGCCACCAAATCTGGAAATAAGGCAAATCTTTTAAATGGTTTATCAATATTGCATTATAATGGATGACAAAACATTAGTATCTAATTCTAGACTTTATGGACACCTCATAGAATGAATCTTTGGAATATAAAAAATAACACTTTTGTTTTCCCTTAATCAGGAAACTGTTACACTCAGTCGAGAAATAGCTAGTGCAACATTTGTTCAACCCCAAAGGCTCCATTCCCTTTACCAACTATTTATAATATTCTTGGGCCACTCACAGGAGAAAAACACTATCAGCATTGAGAGAGAGCAGCGTTTTCAAAATACGTTTTGTTGTCTTAAACAAAAAGCTTAACTATGCTACTAGTCCAGTAATTCTGTATGGTCTTATCACTTCTATTCATAAGATATAATCTGGCCAGGTGCAGTGACTCACGCCTGTAATCCCAGCACTTTGGGAGGCCAAGGCTGGTGGATCGCCTGAAGTCAGGAGTTGGAGACCAGCCTGGCCAACATAGTGAACCTCGTCTGTACTAAAAATACAGAAAATCAGCTGGGTGTGGTGGTGGGTGCCTATAATCCCAGCTACTAGGGAGGCTGAGGTGGGAGAATCACTTAAACCCATGAGGCGGAGGTTGCAGTGAGCCAAGATGGCACCATTGCATCCAGCCTGGGCAACAAGAGCAAAACTTCATCTCAAAAAAAATAAAAAAGATATAGTCTTTAACATTTATGTAGGTGAATACGTGTTATGTTTTTGAGAAGTCCCAAAAGACTTTGAGAGTTCCCAAAAGACTTTTAGGAGTTTAATTTTTTCACAATTAAATAAAGGAGCAGTGTCAATCTATGAGAGTCAGACCAGCCGTTTAAATAAGACCCTCTTCATAGCTCAGTTACCAGTGCCTGAAGAGATTCAATACAGTCCCCTTGCTCTCATTTATTAGAAAGAAGGATTTGAGAGGGATAAGAGCATTAACTATCCACATTATTTAATAGCTTATATTTAATAGCCTACGAAGACAGAAAACAGATGTCAAAAAATACAGTCTTAAAAATAAAGGACTGGGAGCAGTGACTCACTCCTGTAAATCCAAGCACTTTGGGAGGCCGAGGCGGGTGGATCACCTGAAGTCAGGAGTTCAAGACCAGCCTGGCCAACATGGTGAAACCCCGTCTCTACTAAAAATACAAAAATTAGCTGGGTGTGGTGGCAGGCACCTGCAATCCTGGCTATTTGGCAGGCTGAGGCAGGAGAATCGCTTGAACCCAGGAGGCAGAGGTGGCAGTGAGCCGAGATCATGCCATTGCACGCCAGCCTGGGTAACAGAGTAAGACTCCATCTCAAAATAAATAAAAAAATAAATAAAATTAAAATTAAAAAAAAAAAGAAGCCAAATCCTTTCATCCCAGGATGTCTGAAAAGGAGAGATTCTGTGAAGCATGGATGCAGAAAAGGAGTTATTCCTACCAGAAAAAATGAACTGTGGACACAGTCACTGAAGACCAGGGAAACAATTACCTGATTCCTCAAGTTACCTGTTCACTTTATTTGTCATTGTTATTTTCGTCAGTGTTTTCATATGTATTCAGTGACCTGGAAACCTTTTTGGTGAACTTTTGTTTATTTTTAAAGAATAAGATTATGAATTGATTAGTATAAATAAATGCTATTTGTTTTCTCTGCAACCACTTAGACAAGGCTTATCCCAACCTCAGCTCTATTGACATTTTGGGCCCACAAATTCTTCACTTGAGAGGCCTTGTATTGTGCATTGTAGGGTATTTAGCAGCATCCTGGGTCTCTACCATGACAATAGAAATCTTTACCCTCCCCAAGTTTTGACAAAAATGTCTCCATACTTTGCCAAAAGTCCACTAAAGGCTGAAATTTCCCCTGGTTGAGAATCACTGGTGTAGACCTATTTCCCAGGAACCCTCTTCTCCAAGTAGGAGGGCTGCCTGTGAGGCCTGTGTAAGTGGGTGGGCTGTGACAACCGTCACACATCACTATTGAAAGTGATTCCATGTCATTCCTCTGAGATGCCTCAGTGTCCCTTCAGTTATTTCCTTCCAAGTTTGACTGAGTACTTAAGAATTTTGTCCATTCACAATATTTCCCTCATAGTGCTCTCATAGGGTGGAAATGGCCTTGGAAGAAGGAGCCAAAAAATTCCTGGAATCTTCTGTCTCTCTGTGACCATTATTAACATATTTTAACTAAGATGTTTAAATGATACTGGTATATATATATATTTTTTCAATTTTGCTTAATTTTATTAGATGTAGAGAAAGAGGATTAGTAAATTCTGCCGTCTTATCCTAGAAATACCCTTTATCCATAGAATAAAGTTGAAATTTCTTATTGTGATATGTGATACTCTTCACAGGTTGGCACTTGTTTTCTTTCTTTAACCTCAGTGTTCAGAACTTACCCACACATATCCAAAAAATGTCCATGCTCTGTGAAGCATGCAATTTGTATTTATAAAAGACGGTTCATTCTATCCCCTAGAAGCATCCACTGCTGTTGACATCTCACTGTTTGTATCTGTTGCCAGGAAATTTACTAGGAGACACCAACATATACTGTTAGATAATAGCAATTATTATTATCTAATAGCAATCTTATAGAAAGCTCTGTAATTGTAATCTTATAGAAAGTAGATGATATCCCGGTGAGCAACTGGGTGAAGGTAGCATAAGCACAAGTGTTCCTTTGGAGCTGTTGGTGTCTTAATCTCTTAACATTTTAAGAAACAGAACAAATAGCTGTCATAAACATGACACTTCCAGGACACCCTTCGTTATCAGATTTTAATTACGTAATTAGTTCCAGAATATTTTGGTTCTCATATTTTCCTACACTTATGAGAGTAGCCATTCAAATAACCTCCCATCCTCTGGCTTTATTCCAGTAAATCCATTTTTCATAGCTCCAGAGTGACCTCTCTAAAGTGTATCTACTATTTGAAGCTTTCAGTGATTTCCCAATGCCTATTAGTTAAAAAGAAAACGAACGTGGCTGGTAAGATCTCTCACTATCTTTCCTGTCACTCGGCGCTCTAGCTGAATGTAATGTCACCATTATCTTGCACAAGTCAGCAGCATAGCACTGCATGGTTTCCATTACCCTTCAAGACAAACCTGCAGCAGGGAAGTGGCAAGAGGTCAGCTCAATTCTGATTGAGGACTGAATACAAGAATAGGAAGCCTTGTGGTTTTTCAGAGCAGTTTCATGGCTATAATTTTTATTCTAATAAGACTAATATTAATTATGTTCTCTCATTTTTACTTTTTTGCAGCTATCTTCTTTACATGATTTATTATATCTTTATTTCAACAAGTCCTACAGAACACATGGAGTTCACAAACTTATATGGAAACTGGAGTCTTAAATGTTTGGGGGAGTTCATAAAAAGAGCACAGAAATTTGATGCTAGGCTGCATTTACAGAAAGAGCTGTCTAGGGCAAGTTGATTTAATTTTCTCAGAAAAGTTTTATTGAAAATGCCTATAATTGTTGTATATCATTTATACACGATGATATAAATTAAAAACTCAGGAATATTGGGTAGAAACAAATCTTCAAGGGTGCCAGCCCAGAATATTAACTATTAGTTATTAACTTGAATATTAGTTATTAACTTGAGTTAATATAGATCATTTCTAAGTGAGATTGTCTCGTAGGAATCATATTCGTGGTGGTTAGTCTCCAGAGCAGCTCACAGGTGCCTCCTTACTGCCTTACTCATAGTGTTCCAGAATGTTCTTCCATGAGGTACATGTATTCTGTGTTCCAGGCTCTTTGGATACAGGAGCACAAACACCTCAGTAAGAAGGTTTCCTCTGGAGAAGGAGGAGGTAGGAGTGTGTTCAGCTGTGATCCGGTAGCAGAGACACAGGTTCACTCGGGGTTCCTGACAGTAACTTGGGGCAAGAGTTATGTGTCCTGGCCTCTTTCCTGTAAAGTTCAGGGCTTTTCCTTCCAGGGTAAACTTCTAGACACATAGCTCATTGACCTCTCAGACTTTCCTTTAGCAGAAATCTACTTATTACCTTTAGTAGCTGCTAGGAACCTGCCTTTCCAGAATTTAAGTTAGGGAGTACTATAAAGTGGGCAACCTAACTTACCTTTTGCAAAGGATAAATATAGCTTGTAACAACACTTTAAAAGTCTTTCATTTTCACTCCCTCTTTGAAATGCAGTATTTGTCATCAACTCAAGGCCCATATGTATAGGAGTCTGTCTTAATTATTATGGCTTACAGTGCAATTCTGAAATCTTTTAAAGGAAGTCTCCTATGTCTCCTATTCTTTTTTCTTTTTATGTTCCCTTCTTTTTTTTTTTTTTCAAGTTCATGTTGGATGGATAATGTGACGATATCATAACAAGGTTCAAGGGTGGCACAGGTCACACATGCGTGTGAACACCCCATCGTCACAGGAACTACAAAAGGATCTCCCATTGTTCTTTAACAAAATTTTCTTTGCTCTTCTCAGAAATTTTATCTTGTAAATGAACCTTAGTATCCAAATCCACTAAAAATCTCAAGTTAAAAAATGTTATTGCATTTATAGATCAATATGCATGTAAGAAAAAGGAGAAATTAACATCTGTAAGTATTGAATCTTTTATAGAAATCATGTTTGTATTTTTTAAATTATATGTGCTTTTAGAAATATTCTCAGTAAAATTTTATAACTTTCTTCTTGTAAATCTTAGATATTTTTTCATAGGTTAGTTTCTAGGTACTTAAAGTGTTTCTTGATGTCTAAATGATGTAGTTTTAATGATGTTTTGTCACTGGAATTTGCAGATATATAAGAATGTTTTATTTCTTTCTTATATGGTTTTCTCACCAAAACTCTCTTTATAAAAATGACTATTTTTAGAGCAATTTTTCAGTTTACAGAAAATCTGGGCAAAAAAGGAATTCCCATAACCCCTTCTTCCTTCAATATAGTTTCTCCTGTTATTAACATTTTATATTAATGTGGAACATTTGTTACAATTGATGAACCATTATTGAAACATTATTAACTAAAGTTCATAGTTTACATTAGTGTTCTTTCTTTGTGTTGTAAAGTTCTATATTTTTTTGTTTGTTTTGTTTTTGAGACAGGGTCTCACTTTGTCACCCAGGCTGGAGTTAAGTGATGCAATTACAGCTCACTGCAGCCTCAGCTTTCCGGGCTCAAGGGGTCCTCCCGCCTCAGCCTCCTGAGTAGTTGGGAGTACAGGCATGCGCCACCACACCTGGCTAATTTTCATATTTTTTTGTATAGTTGGGCTGCCCAGGCTGGTCTCAAACTCCTAGGCTCGAGCAACACCACCCCTTGGCCTCCCAAAATGCTGGAATTACAGGAGTGAGCCATCACACCCAGGAAAAATCCATCGGTTTTGACAAATGCATGTCATGTACCTGCCATTGCAGTACCATCCAGAAGAGTTTTGCTGCCTTGAAAATCCCACGTGCTCCTCCTATTCATCCTTCCCTTCCTCCTCCTGAGTCTCTGGCAACCACTGATCATTTCATTGTCTCTACAGTGTTGCCTTTCCCAGAATGCTGTATAGTTGGAATCACAATGTATGCACTCTTTTCAGATTGGCTTCTTTCTCTTAGGTTTTCAGTTTCTTTCTTTTTTTTTTGGAGACGGAGTCTCGCTCTGTCGCCCAGGCTGGAGTGCAGTGGCCGGATCTCAGCTCACTGCAAGCTCCGCCTGCCGGGTTCACGCCATTCTCCTGCCTCAGCCTCCCAAGTAGCTGGGACTACAGACGCCCGCCACCTCGCCCGGCTAGTTTTTTTGTATTTTTTAGTAGAGACGGGGTTTCACTGTGTTAGCCAGGATGGTCTCGATCTCCTGACCTCGTGATCCGCCCATCTCGGCCTCCCAAAGTGCTGGGATTACAGGCTTGAGCCACCGCGCCTGGCCGGTTTTCAGTTTCTTTCATCACATATTTTGGAATATAACATTCGCAATTGCTGAGGGTTTTGTTTTACTTATAACTTTATATAACTTCATTATAACATAATTGTAAACCTGATTTCTTTGTTCTAATGGTCTGAGTTGGGACCATAACAGTGGAAATCTTTTGAATAATTTTTAATTTTCTCATTTATTCTAGCATTTCACGATCCAATACGATGTTTATTCCAGGATTTTGGTTGATTTCATTAATCAGGTAAATATTTTCTCTCTTCCAGTACTTCTAAAATTTCTCTGGTCAGGTATGGCATTATTTTGTAAGGGATAATTTTACAGTATCTATTAAAATGTTATTTTCTTTTTAAAAGTCAATTCCTTTAGGAAACTACAGTGATAGGTTTTTCTAATGTTGAACTATCCTTACACTTCTTGGTAAACCCTAATTGGTTGTGTCAGCCTTTTTTTACATTGTAGGATTTGTTTCTCTGCTATTTTAGTATATTTACCGTTAGGCTAATAAGTAGGATTTAGTTGTTTAGTTGTTTTAATTGCTTTTGTTGTTTTTAACTAAACAAATGCTTTGCTAACTTTCTACCTTTTCATCTATTTCTGGACCCATTGATTAAACACTGGGATTATAGAGCAAATTAATTTTGGTAAAAATTTTAATAATACCTCAAAGGTATGGTGTCTTTGAGATAATTTTTTGTCTAACTTTTCGATTGTTGTGATTTTGGTTTCTTTTTATTTTTTAACTTGCTTTGTTTAGATTTTGATAAACTGTATTTTCCTAAACATCTATTTTATCTAGATTTCCAAATCTTGAAATATTTGTGTATTTGTGTTTGTGTATGTATATACATTTTTGTAAACATGGACTATATGTTTTTTAAATGTTTTGCAGTGTAATATTTATTTTTCCTGAAATTAATGACTTTTAACTTAATCTGAACTACATATGATTGTCTGCCTCAGAAATATTGTGGATATAGTACTAGCCATTACTGATTAGGCCTACATTTTTATTACACCAATTTGTGTAATATTTTCCCTTGTCTTTTTTTCTTAGGTTTATTTGGCTGAATTTTTCCTAGATTCTTGATTTGCACACATACTTTTTAAATTTTAGCCTTCCTTGCTCCCATTTAAGGCTAAGAATTATTTTTTGAGGACACTTTGGCTAAGAAGTATTTTCAATTTATAGTGTTACCAATATCTTTAATTCTGAAATCTAATTTCAGATGTGACTTATTATTAACCCAAGAGATCATGATAAATTATTAAATTTGTGTACAGGCAACAAAAACAAAAATAGACAAATGGAATTTAATTAAACTAAAAAGCTTCTGTATGCCAAAAAAAAAAAATAATAATAATCAACAGAGTAAAATGACAACTTGCAGAATGGGAGAAAATATGTGTAAACTATTCATCCAACAAGGAATGAATATCCAGAATTTATAAGGAACTCAGACTACTAACAACAGCAAAAATAATCTCATCAAAAACTGGGCTAAGGATATCAATAGACATTTTTCAAAAGATGGCAAACAGGCCAGGCACAGTGGCTCAGGCCTATAATCCCAGCACTTTGGGAGGCTGAGGCAGGCGGATCACCTGAGGTCAGGAATTGGAGACCGGCCTGGCCAACATATAGTGAAACCTCGTCTCTGCTAAATATTTGTGAAATTTTCAGTTTTCCTTCTGTTATTGCCTTCTGCTTTCATTTCACTGTGGCCAGAGAGATGCTTTGTGTTATTTCAGCCTTTTTATACTTATCGAAGATTATTTTGCAGCCTAACATACCTTGAAGAATATTTCATGTGCACTTGAGAAGCATGCATAATCTGCTGTTGTTGGGTGAAGTGTTCTACATATGTCTGTTAGGTCTAGTTGGTTTACAGTGATACTTAAGTCCTCTATTTCCTTATTAATCTTCTATCTAGTTGCTCTATAGCTCAGTAATCCATTAGTGAAAATGGGGTACTGAAGTCTTCAACTATTATTATAAAACTGCCCGTTTCTCTTTTTAACTTTGGTAATTTTTGTTTCATATATATTATGGGACTCACACTGTTACACATCTATGTTTATAATTATTCTAACTTCTTGATGGATTGACTTTTTCATAACATATAACATAAACATATAATATCATTCTTTGTCCCTTGTAACAATTTTTGATTTTTTTGTCAGATATTAGGACAGTCACCCCAGCTCTGTCTTGGTTACTATTTCCACGTAATATATGTTTCCTATCTATTCATTGTCTACCTCTTGTGCCTTTGGATCTAAAGTGAGTCTCTTGTAGATAGTACACAGTTGGCTCATATTTTAAAAATTCATTCTACTGATTTCTCCCTTTTAATTAAATAATACATTTATACTTAAAATAATTACTGATAAGGAAGCATTTACTTCTGCCATTTTGGGATTTGTTTTATATATGGATTATATATTTTTCATTTTTCAATTCCTGCAATACTGCCTTCTTTTGTGTTTAATTGATATTTTTAAGTGTATCATTTTGTAAAAAAATTAGCCAAGCATGGTGGCACATGCCTATAATCCCAGCTTCTTGGGAGGCTGAAGCAGGAGGAGAATTGCTTGAACCTGGGAGGTGGAGTTTGCAGTGAGCTGATTGTGGCTACTGCACTCCAACTTGGGCAACAGAATGAGACTCTGTCTCAAAAAAAAAAAAAAGTGTATCAATTTGATTTCTTCTCTTTTCTTTTTCTCATTATCTTTTTTGTTATTTTCTTCATTGTTACTCTGGGAATTACAATTGTCATCTTAAATTTGTAGCACTCTAGTTTAAATTTATACCAACTTACTTTCAATAGTACATAAAAATTCTGCTCCTATACAGCTTTGTCCTCTCCTTATATTGTTATTGCCACAGATTACATCTTCATATATTGTGTGACTATTAACATAGGTTTATAATGATTACACATTTGTCTTTTAAATTATGTAGAAAAAAACAGGAGTTACAAGCCAAAAATACAATAATACTTTATATTTATATATGTAGCCACCATGTCTGGCTAATTTTTCTATTTTTTGTAGAGATTGGGTCTTGCCATGTTGCCTGGGCTCAAGTGATCTTCCCACATTAGTCTCCCAAAGTGTCAGGATTACAGGCATGAGCCACCACACCTAGCTAGGTTTTTTTTGTTTGTTTTTTCTCTTTCAGCACCTTAAATATTTATTCTACTGTCTTTTTGGCATCCGCAGTATCTGAAGAAAAACCAACTGCTAATCTTATTAAGAATGTTTTGTAAGTGATGAGCCTCTTCTCTCTTCTTGCTTTCAAGATTCTCTTTGTGACTTTTGACAATTTGAATACAATGCATCTCAGTGTGAATCTCTATGCATTTACCCTACTTGTGTAAGATTGGTGCAAAAGTAATTGTGGTTTTTGCTATTGAAAGTAATGGCAAAACTGTAATTACTTTTGCACCAGCCTATATAGTTCACTTAGCTTCTTGAATGTGTAGATTCATGTCTTTCATCAAATTGGGAGCGTTTTTAACCATGATTTCTTCAAATATATTTTCTGGTCCTTCCTTTCTTCTCCTTCTGGGACTCCCATTATATATATGTTGGTATGCTTGATGCTGTCCCATAGTTCTCTGAGGATTGGTTCTTTTTTAAAAAAAACAGCTTTATTGAGACATCATTTACATATAAATATTATATATATTTAAAGTGTACAATTTGATGTTTTCATATGTGTACATTGTGAAATGATCACAACCAAACTAATAAACATATCCAGTACCTCTACATAGTTACCATTGTAAATGTATGTAATTAGATTTAAAATTTATCCTCTTAACAAATTATCACTATACAATACAATGTTGTTAACTGTCATTACCATGTTGTACATTGAATCTCCAGGAATTATTTATCTTTGTTAATTCTTCTTTATTCTTTTTGCTTCATACAATAGATCTCAATTAACCTTCCTTCAAGTTTGCTTATTCTTTATTCTGCTGTTGAACTACTCTAATTTTTCATTGCAGTAACTGTACTTTTCAGCTTCAGAATTTCTATTAGGTTGTTTCTTATAATTTCTACAGCTTTATTGATATTCTCTATAAGGTGACACATCATTCTTCTGGGTTCCTTTAGTTCTTTGTCCATGGTTCCCTTTTAACTCTTTGAACATATGTTAAGAGTTGATTTAAAGTCTTCGTCTGGTAAGTCCAGTGTCTGGGCTTCTTCAGGGACTGTTTCTATACATTTCTTATTTTCCTGTGAATAGGCCATCATTTCTTGCTTCTTTGCATGTGTCATAACATTTTGTGGAGAAGTGAAGATTTTGCATAATATGACAACTTTGGAAATCAGATTCTCCTCCCTCTCCAGAGTTTGTTATTGCTGCTTGTTGTAGTTTGTTGTTGTTTAACACTTCAATGGTTTAGACACTTCTCTAAACCATTTTTGTTAAAGCTATATTCCTTGTGGTTGGCCACTGAAGTTTTGTTATTTTAGCTTAGTGGTTAGCTAGTGATTTGAAGAGATTTCCTGAAATACTGAGAGCCAAAAGTGTAAAACACTCTCCCAGTCTTTGCAGGTTGGCTTTGCATGGGGAACTCCTTCAATGCTTAGCCAGGTTGTTTAAAACTCTGCCTTAACCTTCACTCCCTCGTATGGATCCTAAAAGTTAGATAGATGTTAGAGATTAGAGTCTTTTCAGGTGTCTCTGGGCATATGTCCAGCCTGGGAATGTATGTGACCTTCTGGATTTCTTCATATATACAGAAGCTTTTCAAAGTCATCATTTCCCCAAGTATCTCCATATGTAATCTCCTTCTTCCCAGACTTTTCTTGCTGCTTATTGCTTGCTCCAACTGTCACCCTTTGTCTCAGGTGGCTAAGGCTAATATATTTGCTTTTACATGCTTTCAACAAACACCACTCAGAAACTGCTTATGACTTGGAGAAAGTTTGAGCCAGGTAAAAGAAAAGCAAGTCCTTGTGCCAACCCTTCAGGGAGCCCAGACGATCAAAACACACCGCCATGATTCCTTAAGAATAAGTCCGTATTTCTCCCTCTGATGCCAGCAACCTGCATCTGGAATGTGAGCTGCTGTGTGAGCTGCTACCAAGCTGATGATGGGGCATGGTAAGCAGGTAAGTTATAATGCCACAGCACTTTTACCAAAATTCAGCAGTGTCTTTCTTCAGTAAGCACTCCCCTGCTTGTTAATGTTGATTTTTAATAGATTCCCAGAGTTCCAAAAAATTTGATTCTTAACAGTTTTTGCAAGGTTGTTTATTGCTTTTGTGGAGAGACAGGATTTTAGAGTTCCCTACTCTGCTATTTTCAGTAACATTACACCTGGATGACTAAGTTTAACTTGTTTACAGCTATTAGAAGTGTATCATTTCCTTTAAAAAAATGTTGGCCAGGTGCAGTGGCTCACGCCTGCAATCCCAGCACTTTGGCAGGCCAAGGTGGGTGGATCACCTGAGGTCAGGAGTTAGAGACCAGCCTGGACAACATGGTGAAAACCTGTCTCTACTAAAAATACAAAAATTAGCTAGGCATGGTGGCACCTGTAATCCCAGCTACTCGGGAGGCTGAGGCAGAAGAATTGCTTGAACCTGGAAGGTGGAGGTTGCAGTTAGCTGAGATTGCGCCTCTGTACTCCAGCCTGAGCAACAAGAGCAAAACTCCGTCTCAAAAAAGAAAAAAAAATAAAAGTCATAAAAAAATAAAAAGCTCAGAATCAGAGACACTCTTGGGTAATTTTTAGTATATAAGTCCTTGCATAAACTAGGTGTTCAATACTGTCAAAGAAATTTAAGAATCAGGTCCTAGAAAATGAAAGTATGAAATGAAAACAAAAAAAATATCTGATAAAGCTCTCAATCAACTTAGAAGTTTATTTTGCCAAGGTGAAAGATGTGCCTGGGAGACAAGTCTGTGCCTTTCTCCAAAGATGACTTTCAGGATTTCAATATTTAAAGGAGAAAAGTGGGCTAGAGAGGAAAGAGGGAGAGTATAGTAATCCACATATTGTAAGAGAAAAGGAGAAGGCAAGGGAATAGTAATTATGTATTGGTCTCACACTCAGCAAGTAAATTGACACATTACATAAGATAAGATGAACATAAAGTAGCTACCTGTGGAAATATTTAACCTTTTATCTGTAGCTATCTACTTAGGAACAAAAGGAAAGGTAGTTGCTTGCATGACTCAGCTTTCAGCTTAATATTTTTCCTTTGGCATAGTAAATTTATTTTCTTTTCACAATTCTCACTGCCACTTTTTAAAAAGCCAGTCAAATTTAGCAGTGGCGGGGTCATATACCAACTTTAGTGACACTAATGTTAATAAGTTCTGATAACCCACTACCATTGGACCAACCTCCCCATTTTTTCTTTTAAACTCTTTCAGAAAATGCATTTTAGAAGAAAATGAGTCTCTGATCTCAGGTTTTGTCTGATCTCTCATGACTGGGATGGCCTATTCCTAGATAGGTAGGTCCCCATGTTGTAGGAAAACTCATTTTTAGCCAGTTATGAAGTCTCACATTCTACAAAGAAAAAATAGGTGAAGGACAGAGAAAGGAAGCAGAAGAAAGATGAAGAAATAACAAATATTTTTTAAAAAGAGAGAACAATCCTGGAAAACTGATTTGGCCATATTACTCAAGTCCATACATCAGTAGGTAGGCATAAAATTTGTTTATATATAGAGATAGGTTGCTGTGATTTTCTTCTGAAGTTTATGTTGTCTAGCTTCAGTATTTAAAATCAGGAAAAATGAGCAGAAAAAGGAAAGGAAAGAAGAAAAAAATGAAAACATTATTTTGGAAACTTGTAGCCAGGAAATATTTTAGAATTCAGTCCAAATTGTAGAATATAATAAAAGTTGAAAAACACTTGACAAGGTTAGAATCCAATAACAGGTGTACTACAGTTTATTTTGAAACATGATTTTTCTCTCTCCAATTCCCCCATTGAATTAAAGACAAAATCATAGTAGGACCAATTCATTTGTAAAGTAAGTTTTAGTCTTATTATTGGCTTGATTATTTACATAAAGTGCAGCAAAAATAATCATTTGCCATATAGGCTCTCTTTTTAAAAAATTTGGCTTTGCTGGAAGATTTTCCATAAGGAATCTGATGTAAGGCCTTTTTTTAAAGCCATAAGTCCAGTCAAGGATTTATCTGTGCCTGCAGATACCTGTATAAATGGAATGAATTACTTTCTTTTTGAGGTCTCCAAAAAACCTTGGGGTTCCCAGGGATGTCAGAAAGTGACACTCTTTACTTACCACAGGGCAGGACCCTGTAACTAACAAGGTATAAGGCCAGTGTTTCCAAGGGGTTTTTAGTGGCTCTAAAAGTTAGCCTTATTTTCTCAGGGCAGTCTGAATATATGTCATTCCAGTCAAAGCATTGGTAAACTAACCAGTATCTCCAATTACATCCTGTTATAAAAGAAAACAGTTTCTTATTGAGCTTATATAAATAACTATATTGCCATAAATTAAGAATACTTACAAACAATTTCCAAATTTCGGGGAAATGAGGTAAAGAAATTATGTTTTAAATTTTGCTCACTAGAGTATAATTTACTCAATTGTTAAAAGCTGTACATAGCTTAAAAGAAGAGAAACTTTTCTTAAATCTGAAAAATAAAACAAAAAGAATTGGCAAATTTTTAAATAAAAAGTCATAAAGGATTATTGTAATTATTTCAATCTTCCATTAGTTCAGTCCAAGAAATTAACTCCTGTTCTTCTCAATAGTTGATCAACAACTTTCATGAATACATCAACTTTCCATGAGAGTTCTGGAAGTTTTCCTCTTTATTCCAATGGCACAATCTCTAATATTATCAGAAACTCATATTTAAGAGTACTCCTCAGAGTTTTATAGCTGATTATAAACCACTCTATAAACAGACCAAAGTAAAACCACAATTGTGGATAATGAAAATCTTAGAACGGTCATGGTTAAAGACACAATTTACAAGGAAATTTGGTTACTCCTGTGGCATACAACAATTTGACACAATATGATTACTACTGATAACATATAATAAGATATATCAGAATCACAGGAATCTCATGTAATTTTGGAACACATACTAATAACACATTTATATAAATATAATCCAAAGAAGGTTAAACACCATTTCATATTTGATGATGCTTCTTGTATGATTTTATGATACCGAATAAGCAAAACATGTCTCTTCTGGACTTCAGGGGACCTAATATCAAAAAATTAAAAGGAATTTAGAACTTGATTTTGGAAAGTTTGTCAAATATAAAAACAGTTTAAAACACTTGATATCATAAATGGGATTACAGGACATTGTAAAATAAATCATTCATTCAGCCAAAGTGATAATTCAAATGTTTTTTTTAAAGGCAAAAGCCTTATTCTTTGAGAGAGGAGACTTAATTTCCCGAACAATAAGTACTAACAAAGACAGCATGAGGCCAGTTAAATCTGCCTCAAGTCTTATAAACAAATCTATTAAATTTTAATCATCTTGACCAGAAGATATAATTTCCCTAAACCTTTTTATAAACTTTTCTAATTTTTTAAAGAGTAGGTTAATACTCCAAGAAAAATCTTGTTAATCTGATACAGGGGCCCAGATGCTGGTCTTGCATCAGTGTTTCTTTGATTATTAATGTTTAATCTATAGAGAAACTCTGATATAATTTTCTCTCTCAAAATTAGCCCTTACAATCTCACACACCCACCTTTTCTTCAATAGTCCCTGAGCCTAGAGGGTTTGAATAGTTTTAATTTTTGGCTCTGTGTTTTATGAATGCAGTTTATTTTTATTTTTATCATCTCCTGAGTCTGAAGATGAGCCTTTAACTGCTGTCAGTGTTTAAGATTCAGCAGAACTTGGTCCTTTTTGCATCCAGGAGTCAAAACCCTGTAACTCAATAGCACAAGGATTTTTAAAGTAATACAGAAAGTTACATGGAGGTAATTGCCTTAATTAAAAACAAAATTAATCTCAGTTTTCCTAAGCAAATCAAAACTTAATAATGATGTAGGAATTATTTCAATAAAGCATAAAATCTGTTTGTTAGTCCAATTACCAAATGGCAAAAACCCCAAAAATAAACCCTTTTGCAGTGTGACTGCTGTTCCCTGTGGGGAGTCCATTTAGATAACCTGCAAGTCAAAACTAATGAAAAAAGGGTACTTGAATTAATTAGACATAGGAAGAGTGTGTCCTAAGTGAAGGTTTCTTTTATCTTTTTCTTTTTTTGAGATGGAGTCTCATTCTGTCACTCAGGCTGGAGTGCAGTGGTGCAATCTTGGCTCACTGCAGCCTCCGCCTCCTAGGTTCAAGTGATTCTCCTGCCTCAGCCTCCTGAGTAGCTGGGATTACAGGTGCACACCACTATACCTGGCTAATTTTTTGTATTTCAATTAGAGATGGGGTTTTGCCATGTTGGCCAGGCTGGTCTAGAATCCCTGGCCTCAAGTGATCTGCCCACCACGGCCTCCCAAAGTGCTGGGATTACAGGCATGAGCCATGGCACCCAGCCAGGTTTTCAATTTTGTAAACCAATTTAGACATATTAAGAAAAGCTAAGAGCACAGAATGTTATATTGGAAGAAAACATTTCCTTTAAATCTTTAAGATAAAACATTTTTAGCATTAGGTCACAACAGCATTTAGAAACTGAGGATAAAAAGTTAGAGGAGCTGATAAAAAAGTTGGAGTGAGTTATTATCTCAGGCCTTCTCAAAGGGGAGAGAAAACTGAAAACAGTAAGACACAATAAAAGTTCAATTTTGGGGTTAACAAAAATCTCTTGTAATTTTATTAAGAGTAAATCAATACCTTAAGAAAATTTTGTTGTTCTAACCAATTCTTTAGTATATTAGGGTATTTTAATATCAAAGCCTAATCTCTAGAGAGACTTTTATAAATAATTTTAACTATAGCCAACTTGATCACATAAAGTTTTTTTAATATAAATTCTCCTTTTACAAAGTTGATTATGACTTACACAGACCATTTGTGATATATGCCTATGTTCCCAGACCAAACTGAGGGTCAGGCTGCTATTTCTCGTGGCCCAATAATGAGATGCAGATGAACTGGGGAGGAAGAGAGTTTTTATTTCTGTAACCGGTTACAGGGAGAAGACCTGGAAAACACTGCTAGACCAACTCAAAATTACAAAGTTTTCCAGAGCTTATATGCCTTCGAAGCTATATGTCTATGTGTAAGTGTGCATTCATCTAAAGACATAAGTGATTAACTTCTCTTAATCTATAACTAAGATCTGAGTCCTGAAGACCTTCCTCTGGAGCCTGAGTAAATTTACTTAATCTAAATGGGTCCAGGTTCTGGGGTGATTACCCTTATCTTGTCTCCTGCTAAATCATGGAGGATTGGGAAGTTCCTTCAGACCCTAGTAAACTCTTTTGTGGAGGCCTGGGGAGTTTCTTCAGATCCCCAATAAAACTTGCTTAATCCTAAACATATCCTGTTAAGAATTCCTTCATTATCTTGTCATGTTTCAAGGCCAGGAAAGGCCTAGGCAAAACTCTTGGTGGGCTTTTGTTACAGTCCAGCCTTTGCACAAGGTCACTGGCCCTTTCAGCTTTTATATTTAACTTAATCCCTCAGTCAGTGCTGAAACAGTTGTTATGAAGGCCTGGATTAGTAAGACCTGGCCGGCCACACTTGGACTTTCTGTTTTATCTTAAATATCCCTCTTTCTTAAATAACCAGTCATTTTTATTTCGAGACAAAAAATTACCGTACAAATTCTTACTCATATAAAATTATTTTCCTTTTAACCTCTATTATCTTTCGTCTTTTTTCATAAATAACCTTTGAATTAGAAATTATTTCCCTTTAATAAGAACACTTTTTAAAGAAAAATATTTGTTTGCTATAATATAATTTTTAAAAAATCAGGTAACAGTACAAAGGCAAGCAGTTTAAGATCGGAGAGGAACTTGTCTTGTTTATATTCCTGGGGATCCATATGGAAGAACAGAGATTTCTCCCCAGAAAGGAGGGGCCTTCTCTCTTTTCTTGAAGGAATCCCAGGCTGTTAGAAATTATTTAGATCCTTCATGCAGCAGAGGGTGGCAAGAGGAAGGAGAGACAGGCCAAAGTAATTTGAGGAAACAGAATTCAGTCAACTGAGAAGAAAAAAACTTTTTCTCAAAAAACGAGATCCTAGGACAGAGAAAAAGCATAAAGGCCTTATATGCATATACACACATCTTGGATATCAGCTTTTAATTAAGCTTTTAACCACTGAGTTCTTAAAAATCCTTTTAAATCTCTTTTAACTATATTTTATCTGGGACAACCTGCTGATATTTCAAAAGTATTAATAACACAAAATTTAAACCAGAAAAGACGTGATTTAGGAACCAAACCCAGGCTGCTGTGGTGAAAACGGGCAGAACCTTAGCTACTGAACTACACTGTGGGGCAGCCACTATAGTTCTTTCAGTTTGGGCCTAGCTCGCAAAAGATGGCCTTGTTATGTAAATGAAGCCCCTCAAGTAGTCAAAATCTTTCTTTTCTTCCTTTTGCTGGCTTTTTTTTTTTCCCAGCTGCAGGAATGTAGACAATTCAGAGGATTTGTTCCCCATAATTTGGAACTTTCCTTCAGATTTGACCAAGTCGGGTAGAGATGATCAAACCTAATGGGAAAAAGACTGAAACAACAAAAACAGAAACAAATAAACAAAACCAGTTAAGCAAAACACAAAAATGATCACACAATTCATACAATTACTGAGTGCTCTAATGGTAAGAAGAAATTAAGACCAGCTGACTGTTAATCTTAATTTTTAGTCATAAGGAGAAGTTCTCAGATAAAACCCCAATTCAACTACTTAGCTAGGAAAAGGGCACAGGCTGAAGACTGCTTGCTACCATCCAAGGAACAGGAAAAAAACTCAAACTTGCCTTCCCGGTTGGAAGTGAGCTGAAACTCCAGAAAAGAGTTTCCTGCTCTCCATCATCATGGAAGCAGGAAAACTCACTTGTTGGAAGTGAGTAAAATTCCAGAAAAGGAGTTGTACAGCACAGTAAATCTTAGATCTTAACCAAAGTTTGGGAGATCAGGGATTCTTCAGAAGGAGGAGCTCCCAGGCCTCAGCAAATTGTCCTGTTGGTTTGAGTAGTAAAGATAGCTCAAGCTGGTACTGAGTACCAATAGGAGGTTTGTCAAAGGTCAGGGCCACCTCCACTCAAAGTCCCTTCGTGGTCACCAATTTGTAAACCAAAAGGAATCTGAGACAGGTCTCAATCAATTTAGAAGTTTATTTTGCCAAGGGTAAGGACATGCCCAGGAGATAGGCCTATGCCTTTCTCCAAAGATGGCTTTAAAGGGGAATACTTAAAGGGGAAAGTGGGCTAGAGGGATAAGAGGGAGGGTGTGGTAATCAACATGTTGCGAGAGAAAGGGAGCATGCAGGGGAATAGTCAATTATGTGTTGGTCTTGCGCTCAGTAAATCGGCACTTTATGTAAGGTGAAATAGAGTAGCTACCTGTGGAGTTTCCTCCCTCCCTTCCTCCCTCTCTTCCTCCCTCCCTCTCACTCTTCCCCCCACCCCCCTTTCTCTCTTTCTTTCTCTGTTTCTGACAGGGTCTCACTCTTTTGCCTGGGCTGGAGTGTAGTGGAGTGATCTCAGTCTACTGCAAACTCTGCCTCCTGGGTTCAAGCGATTTTCCTACCTCAGCCTCCCCAGTAGCTGGGACTACAGGCATGCGCCACCATGCCCAACTAATTTTTTTTTTTTTGTACTTTTTGGTAGGGACAGGGTTTCACCATGTTGGCTAGGCTGGTCTCGAACTCCTGACCTCAGGTGATCCGCTCACCTTGGCCTCCCAAAGTGCTGGGATTACAGCTGTGAGCCAACATGCCTGGCCCCATGGCGATAATTAACCTTTTATCTGTAGCTATCTGTTTAGGAACAAAAGGAAAGACAGTTATTTGCATGACCCAGCTTTCAGTTTCATTTTTTTTCCTTTTGGCATAGTGAATTATTTTCCTTTCACAAAAGAAACTCTAGCCCCAAACCAAAGAACAGATTTTACAGGTATTCACTAGTGACACAGTATCCTGATCTAAACAGTAATTCACTATGCTGGGACTTGAAAACAAGTGAACGACAACAGAAACAGCAGAAATCTATGATTTGGGTGAAAAAAAAAAAAACCAACCCATATTTCCAGGCCATTTTAGAATAATCTGGCATGGATGTATTTCCAAACTAATCTACAGTCTAAGCCAATTTGAATAAAAGATCATGTTTCTGGGCCATTTTCGGGGAGAAAAACTGCTTTAAGGCTTATGTAAAAACAAAAACAAACAAACAAAAACCCTAAAAAACTCCACAACTTGAATGAATATGGATAAATAACTTCATATAAGTACATAGTGATGTTTCTCATTCTTTGTTATGACAGAATATTGTTCTATTTGTGCACGATTTTTATTTAATCAGTTCTACTGAACATGTTTTTCTTTTCCCAGTCTGTGTCACACTGGGAAAAAATTATGGTGAGGACTTCATGTCTACTGCCTGCCCCCACCCCAAGATTTAGCAGATTTGGATTAAATATTTTTTACACCATTTTAGAAGAAAAATATGGTATGCAATTATGTCCAAAATTACATTTCTGGCAAGTCTGAATGAAAAAAATAATCTTTCCGAGTCATTTTGGAAAAAAATTTTTGCACTGCACTTATATCCAAAAACTTTCCACTTTTTGGAAGAAAAAGCTGGCCTAGGGCTGATGTGCCAAAAAATTGGAGTAAATTTGGACTTTTTTAAAAAAATCACGTTTGGGGTCATTTTGAAAGAAAGTCTGGGACAGGACTTATGTCTAATAAACCTCACAATATTAATAAATTTTAAGAAAAAGTAATATTTCCCAGCCATTTACAAAGAACAATCTGGAATAGAGCTTACCCCAAAAATCACAATTAAGGATATTTGGATAAAATATCACATTTTTAGGTTAGTCTGGAAGAAAATTCTGGCACAGAAATTATTTCCAAAAAACTTCATTATTTGAGCCAATTTGATTGAAAAAATCACATTTCCAGGCCATTTAGAAGAAAAGTCTTACACATGATTTAGATCCAAAGATCCTAAGATTTCAGTGAACTTGGATAAGAAATGACATTTTCTGCATATTTTAGAAGGGAAATCTGGTGTAGGACTTAGTTCCAATAAGCCTCCAAATTTGAGCAGATTTGGATGAAAATATCACATTTCCACAGGGATTTGGGGAGAAATATCCAGCATATGACTTAATTCCCCAAAACCTACTATTTACATAAATTTGGATTTTTAAAACTCATGTTTCTTATTCATTTGGGGAGAAATTTGACCAAGAATTTGTGTACCCTAAAACACATGATTTGAATGAATTTGAATGAAAAATGTATATATTTCTGGGCAATTTTGTAAAATAATGTAGCATAGAATTTATGACCACATGTCCTAAAAACTTCAGCAAATTTAGATGAAAAGTTACATTTCTGGGTCATTTTAGAAAAGCCTGGCATAAGAATTATTTCTAAAAACCCATAAGACTTAGTGAATTTGGATGAAAAATAATCCTATTTTCAAGACCATTTTGAAAGAAAAATATAGTATGGTATTACATCCAGAAAACCCTACTTATGCAAATTTCAATGCAAATTGTCTTTGTGGGCCATTTTAGAAGAAAATTCTGCTGTTGGGCTTATATTCTTTTTAAAAACTCCACTGATTATTAGACTACTGGAGCTATATAGTACGTTTTGAAATTTGGAAGTGTAAGTTCTCCAACTTTGTTCTTGTAAAAATATGTACTTTGATTGCCTCTTTTTAACCTAAAACTTAGCACCCTGGACACAGTGTTCTCAGACTGTTTGTCCCATCCCTCCTCCCACTGATTAATCTTGGTGATTCCTTTTTTTTTTTTTTTTTTTTTTGAGACGGAGTCTCGCTCTGTCGCCCAGGCCGGATCTCAGCTCACTGCAAGCTCCGCCTCCCGGGTTTACGCCATTCTCTTGCCTCAGCCTCCTGAGTAGCTGGGACTATAGGCGCCTGCTACCTCGCCTGGCTAGTTTTTTGTATTTTTTAGTAGAGACGGGGTTTCACCATGTTAGCCATTATGGTCTGGATCTCCTGACCTCGTGATCCGCCCATCTCGGCCTCCCAAAGTGCTGGGATTACAGGCTTGAGCCACCGCGCCCAGCCGGTGATTCTATCATATAAGTACATAGTGATGTTTCTCATTCTTTGTTATGACAGCATATTGTCCTATTTGTGCATGATTTTTATTCAATCAGTTCTACTGAACATGTTTTTCTTTGCTAAAATTTGAAATTACTCATGACTGCATTGAATAACTTATCTAAATCATTTTGCACATAAACATACACAGTTATTGGATAAATTCATTAAGTGAGATTTTGGGCTCAAAGGGAATATGAATTTTAAATTTTGAGAGATATTACCAAGTTGTCCACCAGAAGACTTGTGGCAATTTGTATTCCCAAGACCGATGTGTAAGTGTGCCTGTTTCCACCGTCTACAATACTATGTTCGAATTTTGTAGTCTTTGCTAATCTGGCAGGTGCACATATCTCTGTGTGGTTTTCATTTGTATCTTTACTGATGTCAAGGATGTCTTCAAATGAAAGAAGACTTCTCTTCCTATGCTGTTATCTGTCCTTGTGTTTTTTAGTATCTTCTATTGTGTTTTTGATTTTTAAAATTTCATTTCTAATGGTATTATGCAGATAGGAAAGACAGCATCTCCATCAAGTTTGTCTTTTGTTTTGGCCGTAAGTGTGAATTGCCTTGCAGAATTTATTTTTCTACAGACAAATTTGACCTTTTTCATTATGACTTCGAGATTTTGAATCAGAAAGTCAGTCCTAGGTTATAAATGTGTTCCATTGCTGTATAACAGACAATCCTAAATTTTGAGGCTTAAAACAACTACTATCATCATGCCTCAGTTCTATAGGTTGACTGAGCTCAGCTGAATGGTTCTCACCTGAGGTCCCTCACTTGGTTGCAGATGTCACCTAGGGTTTCAGTCATCTGAAAGGTCTGACAGGACAGGCCTCCAAAATAGCTCTCCCATGTGACTGGAGTTGAGGCTCACTGTTGGCTAGCTCAGCTATGGCTGATTACCAGAGCACCTCCATAAGTCCTCTCCATGTGACTAGAAGTTTTCACAGCATGGCAGCAGGGTTCAAAGTGTAGAAGCTGTAAGGCTTCTTATGAGCTAGTCTCAGAAGTCCCATAATATCATTTCTGCTACACCCTCTTGATGAAGCAAGTCATTAAGACCAGCCCAGATACATGGGGAAGGTAACAGGACACCCCTCTTCACCCCATCTCATAATATAGATATAAGGAGGGAAGGAATTGATTATGTCCATCTTAGAAACAATTTTCACACATCCATTCCATGTGAAGTATATACTCATCCCTCCTAAGATGCCCCCAAAGTCTTATCCCACTATGGCATTGGCTCAAAGATCGGGATCTCATTCTTTGAATCAGGTCAAGGTGTAGATGATGCTTTATCTGAAGACCTGGGAACCAAAGAAGCATATCTAACACCCAGTATAGATTCAGGGATAACTATCCCTGAAAAAGTGCTTCTATCAAAAAATGGGGAAACAGCAGGTACTGGTTCATAGAAATGCAGCAGTTCAGCTGGCACGTGCCACCAGTTACCTTTGTAGCACAGTACTGCCCCTGAGAGTGATTCTCCATGATGTCTGCAGTCCAAGTTATTCCTCCTTTTCCATGAGAACTGGCCTGTGCTTGCAGCTTAGTAGGTTTCTCACCCTGCCTTCCTGCCCATAAAAAGAGGTAGGGGCTTTTCTGTCCTTTTCAGAGCAAGCTGGTGTTTCTGTTACAAATGTCATGGGTTTCCTATGCCTCTTATTGAAGCTCATTCCATTAGACAAAACCCATATCCACAAAGCTCTTCAAGACAAGTCCCTCATTTGGGTTGAGTGTCAAGGTGCTATGGGATGATTCCCTTAAAATTTAGCACCATTTTGTGTACAGTCTAGAAGCCACACACTTAAATATTTCTGAAGTCTTTAAAAGGGGTCTTACAGTTGTACCCTTGAGATGATCTTTACCTTGAAGGACACTTTTTTTTTTTTTTTTTTTTGAGACGGAGTCTTGCTCTGTTGCCCAGGCTGGAGTGCAGTGGCCGGATCTCAGCTCACTGCAAGCTCCGCCTCCCGGGTTTACGCCATTCTCCTGCCTCAGCCTCCCGAGTAGCTGGGACTACAGGCGCCCGCCACATCGCCCGGCTAGTTTTTTGTATTTTTTAGTAGAGACGGGGTTTCACCGTGTTAGCCAGGATGGTCTCGATCTCCTGACCTTGTGATCCGCCTGTCTCGGCCTCCCAAAGTGCTGGGATTACAGGCTTGAGCCACCACGCCCGGCCTAAGGACACTTATTTTGAGCAAAACCACACACTGGAGGAGGTATGGTTAATAATATTTACATAGGGTTAAACACCTTAAGCCCTGAGATAGGATAACTATTGAGACTGTGTGGCTGAAAGACCTTAGACCAATTACCTGATGACTGACATGGGAACTGGGTCCCGGGATAGAGGAGCATGATTCAAAGTTCTAAACACTGGTATTACAGGACTGATTGAGGAATGTGGCTTCAAGGGTTTAATCCCTGTTACTGGAGGGCTGAGGAAGACACATGGTTAAAGATTGTCATATACAGTCAAGTGTTGCTTAACAAGAATATGTTCTGAGAAATCATTAGGTGATTTAGTCATTTTGCAAACACTGTAGAGTGTACATACACAAATTTAGATGGCATAACCTACTATACACCTGGGCTACATGGCATAGTCTATTGCTTCTAGGCTACAAACCTGTGCAGCAGGTTACACTGAGTACTGTAGGCACTGAGTACCGTGGGCAACTGTAACACAATGGTAAGTTATTTGTGCATCTAAACATAGAAAAAGTATGGTAAAATACAGCATAAAAGACAAAAATATGGTATACCTGTACAGGACACTTACCATAAATAGTAAATTGCAGAACTGGAAGTTGCTCTGGGTGACTTTGTGCATCTAAACATAGAAAAGATAAGGTAAAATACAGCATAAATGACAGAAAAAAGGTACATCTGTATAGGACATTGACCATAAAAGGCAAGTTGCAGAACTGGAAGTTGCTGTGGGTGAGTCAGTGAGTGGTGAGTGAATATGAAGGCCTGGGACATTACTATACACTACTACAGAAGTACATACTATACCCTTAGGCTACACTCAATTTATTTTTAAACTTTTCTTACTTCAATAATAAATCAGCCTTAGCCTACTGTAACTTTTAACTTTATAAGCTTTAAAATTTTTTACTTTTTGACTCTCTTGTAACTTAGCTTAAAACAAAAACATTGTACAGCTGTACAAACATATTTTTCATTTTATCCTTATCCTATACGCTTTTTTCTATTTTAAAAATTTTAAATTTTTTTTGTTGTTGTTAAAAACTGTAAGACACAAGCACACACATTAGCCTAGGTCTATACAGGGTCAGGATCCATAGCACTGTCTTACCCACCTCTGTATCTTGTCCCATTGGGAAGTCTACAATGCCACTAGGTGACAGGAATTTTTCAGCTCCATTATAATCTTACCAGCCCACCATTGTATATGCAGTCCATCGCAGACAAACATTATGCACTGCCTGACTGTAGTTACGGAGGTGCTGATGAGGTGGTATAGCTGGGGGTGGTTGGAGATTATCCATTTTCTTGGTGGTCTGATATGGGTGTAACTGAGATCCAAGGCTCTGCTTGGTCACAGCTGCAAGACCAGGCCCTGGGACTGGAGTGCTGAGGACAACGTATTGGTGAGAGGGCCCCCGATGGAAGGACCAGGGACTAAAAAAGTCTGAGAAATGTAACAAAGGTAGTCAGGGGCAAAGGCAACAACAGAGATGTTTGAAAGCTGGGAGGAGAGAAGCAGGAAAGGGGGCTGTCAGAGCCAAGGGATGGGGGTAGCTGCAGATGGAGCTGGACTAGAGGAAGTCACATTTTCTGGAAGATCCCCTCCCCTCCTGTGAAATCTCTTTACATAGTTCCTAGATTCTCTCCCCATACAAAGGACCAGTCTTTCCAATAAATCTACAAATGATTTGGTTCTTGTTTTCCGAGGAAATGAATTCCTGTGGAATAGCGGACTTAAGGGTTTCAGATGTCTGTATCATTCCCTATCCCTGTTATAGATGAGTGAATGAAGGACACAGGCACAGTTACAGATGTATAAAGAAGCCAAGTTTATTACAATCGAAGGCCACAAAACATGGAGAAGACTTAGTGTGGGGAAAGTAAACAGTTAAACGCCCTTTGACCACTTACAGAATGCATTTCTCTATTTCATCAAAGTGTCAACATTCTGACTGTTAGTCCTTGTCCCCATCTTTGCCTTCAGAGAGAGTATAAGGAATCGGAAGGTTGCCCCGCACACGGCTCAGGGTCAGGATGCGGTGGCAGTCTGTGGTGCACAGACTTGGTCTTCCTGTGTCTGCTGAGGTGAGACTTGAGGCTGAAGCCCTGCCCACACATCTTGCACACATACGGCTTCTCCCCCTTATGTGCCATTTGATGTAAGGTGAGGTGTGACTTTTGGAGAAAGCCTTGGCCACACTCTCTGCACACACAAGGCTTCTCTTCCAAGTGAGCCCGCTTGTGTGTGATGAGAGCTGACTTATTGCCAAAGCCCAGTCCACACTGCCTGCACATGTAGGGCTTCTCCCTCGAGTGCTTCCGCTTGTGCCTGATGAGACCGGCCTGGTGGCTAAAGCCTCGCCCGCACTCCCGGCACACATACGGCCTCTCCCCTGAGTGCGTCCTCTGGTGTGCAACAAGGTTTGACTTCTGGCTGAAGCCTCGCCCACACTCCCCACACACCATGGGCTTCTCCCCTGAGTGCGTCCTCTGGTGTCTGATGAGGTTGGATTGCTGGCTGAAGCCCCGGCCACAGTCCTTGCACACAATGGGCTTCTCCCCTGAGTGTATGTTCTGGTGTCTGTTGAGGTGTGACTTGAGACTAAAGCCTCGCCCGCACACCCCACACACATACGGCTTCTCCCCGGTGTGCGTCCGCCTGTGAGAGATGAGGGTTGAATTCTGGCTGAAGCTGTGCCCACACACCCCGCACACGTAGGGCTTCTCCTTTGAGTGTGTCCTCTGGTGATTGACAAGGGTGGTCCTCTGCCTGAAGCATCGCCCACACTCCTTGCAGGCGTAGGGCTTCTCCCCAGAGTGCGTCCTCTGGTGGGAGATGAGGTTTGACCTGTCGCTGAAGCCCAGACCGCAGTCACTGCACACGATGGTCTTCTCCTCCAGGTGTGTCCTCTGGTGTCTCACGACAGCCGACTTCTGGCTGAAACCTTTGCCGCACTCCCGGCACACGTAAGGCTTTTCCCCGGAGTGTGTCCTCTGGTGTATGATAAGGTTTGACTTCTGGCTGAAGCCTCGCCCACACTCACTACACATGTAAGGTTTCTCGCCGGAGTGTGTCCGCTCGTGTATGATTAGCGTTGACTTCCTGTTAAAGCCTCGTCCACACTCGCTGCACACAATCGGCTTCTCCCCCGAGTGTGCCTTCTGGTGTCTGGCGAGGCTCTTCTTTAGGCTGAAGCCCTTCTCACATACCCCGCACACGTAGGGCTTCTCCCCTGAGTGTATCCGCTGGTGACTGAGCAGGTTTGTCATCTTGCTGAAGCTCAGTCCACACTCTCCACAGTTGACTGTTCCAAATCCTAAGACTTCTATCCTCTTCAGCAATTTGTCTGTTTCCTCAGGGTTCCCCGTCGGCGCTGGGCTGGCTTCTAACTCCACCCCTCTGAGGCTGTTCCGAGAGGTGACTGGCTGCCTCTGGGGTGGCCTGGAGAACGCTCCCAGAGTCCTTTTCTTTGTTCGTCCAAACAAAGGCCTGGCGCCTTCTCCCCCGGGACCTTCTGCTTCATCACTCCAGGGTCTCCCCTCAGAGGCTTGTGGCTGCTTCTGCTCGTCCCCTGGGCCCGGATCCCCAGGCTGGACGTCACCTTCTGTACACAAGCATGTGAAGATCCAGGGGGGATGATTACACAGCACATGCTGCATGGGGAATTTCTGACTGGAGAAACCAGGTGGGCAGAAAGGATCGAGGTAGAGTTCTGGCTCTGGATCTGCTGCAGAGAGAAAAGTGTGAGTCACAACTGAGTTCTCAGTGGGCAGCCTGAGCAATCAGCTTAGTCACATCCCCTCAGTTTCAAAACACTTACGCCTTAAGTGCCATCCAACTGGGACTTCCTTTACATGGCCTCCTCTCCAGCCTACCACTACTTCTCACGTCTTCCATTACAATCTAGAAAACCCACTGGTAAGACCTGTTCTACATATCAGACTATACAAGCATCCCTGGCATTTTTGGGTGTGTAAATAGGGCCAGTATGGAACAGTTCCCCTTCACCTTCAATACAATGAATTATCTTCTAACTCACAACCACCCACAATGAGATAAATCACGTCCACAAGTACTTTTTTCTGTGATGGAAAGATGTCTAACACTAGGACCCACGTGGAAACGTCCTTCCTTATTTCCCTATGAGGACAGGGGGATGGACTGAGAAAGCAGTTACTTGGAGTGAACAGAGAAGCCTTGGTACAGGGAGGAGCATGAGAGGCTAGTGAAACAGCATGTGACACACCCGAACTGCTGTCTCCCCACTCAAAAAAGATTTGTTAGATTACTCTATGCCAGAATTTCTAGGAGGCAGTACGCTTTCAGCAATGGACAACACAGAGCCTGGGCCCCCAGTGACTTAAAGGATGCTCCCTCCTAGCACCCCCAACCCATTTCCATAATTAGTGTAAATAAAATGTTCCCCAAAAATCAGTGTAAAAGAAGAAATTTCTACTTATAGTACCTCTTGTGTAGGAGATGTCAACATTGATTATATTGTTTTATCACAACAGGGTCTAGTCAGCTGAAGGCAATCAATGACCAGGCAATATGAGTAACCAGGTAGAGATCTCAATGGATGTACCCGAATGCTTTTTTCTTGACCAATGAACAATCAAGCTTATTAAAAGTGTGTACACATCCACATTCCAGAATTATGCCATGCTACACGAAATGCTACTTTTCAATCCTAATTACAATGAGCAGAACCTCCTTTTCCTAATACTTAAAAATTCCTGACTCTTCCTACTCAGCAAACTGCCTAAGTGAATGTCTTCCCTTCTGTGTTTCATTGCCTGGCCAGTAAATACGCTCACCTTTTCTCCTTTCAGTAGCTCTGGTGGCCTTTACCTCAGGCTTTGATGACAGAAGGGGGAACCAACAATCTAACCTGATGCCACCCTCTCCCCACGCCAGTGCTGAGCAGCTCCTGCAGAGAAAGCCTGCTCTTCCAGCCCTTATACTCAGGACAGGTGCCCGGTGGTCCCTCAAGTCCCCTTCTCAGCAGTAAATCCTAGCTGCTTTCACTGAGTTCTCACTAAGTGTTTTGGTTTAATCTAGGTTGTCTGAGGTTCCACAACTCATAACTGATTTTGTGTTTCTATTTCTGGCCAGCAACTTCCTTGAGATTATGGAAACGAGTTGGGTTGTTGTCAGATTTGATTTATTGGCTGTTTTGTTTCTCTTGAATACGACAGGAGAAGGAAGCAACCGCTTATATCTCCTTGGCTTACCTTCATACATATTAGGGCATAGTCATGGGTAAGTAGGTCTTTCAGCAGTAAAAGGAACTTCTGTGTCTGTCCTGAGTTAAGCACAGTGACTATGATTTTGACACAGGTAATACCTCTCACCCACCCTTATAAAAACCAAGGCTTCTGGTATGTCGGCTTATTACAGCCCTAACTGCTGTGCCTATTTGTAAAGTGGCAGGCTTTTATTTACACAAAATGTATTTCAGAATTACTGAAGCGCCTTCAGATAAATCTCAATTCAACATGGTTTTAATATTTATATGGAGTGACAGAAGAAAAACAAAACTTTAAGTCTCCATTAGTCAATTTTTTCAGTTGGTCACCAAATCTGCCATTCTGTGTATACACTAGGAATAGTCTGAGAAGAAATTTTAACACAAAATATTACCAGGTTAATTAATTTGTTTATAAAGTATTTTAAATCTAAGGTACTCCTGTACTGATAGGTTTGTAGAGACTAATGGGTACTGACACAAATTTAAAATTTAAAAACTCGAGAATAACAAAATTAAAAAAAAATCAGGCCAGGCGTGGTGGCTCACGCCTGTAATCCCAGCACTTTGGGAGGTTGAGTCGAGTGGATCACTTGAGGTCAGGAGTTTGAGACCAGCCTGGCCAACATGGTGAAACGCTGTCTCTACTAAAAATATAAAAACTAGCTGGGTGTGGTGGTACACACCTGTAATCCCAGCTACCCAGGAGGCTGAGGCAGGTGCTTGAACCTGCGTGGCGGAGGTTGCAGTGAGCTGAGATTGTGCCACTGCATTCCCGCCTGGGCAACAGAGCAAGAGTCTGTCTCAAAAATAAATAAGCAAATAAATAAATAATAAATAAATAAAAAGTAAAATTGAAAATTGAACTCCTAATGATTTAAATATGCCAGTTTCTGCAGGAAATCTTTCTTGCTGCAGCTGAAGTTCTGGCTCTGAAGAAAAAAGTTTAGCTGTGAATTAAGCCAGGCACCTTGGTTATTAGGTCACACTACAAGAAAGAAATGTGAGGCACTCAGGGCTTATAGACTACAGTATGTAAATGACCTTACTAGCTGGTATGTAACTGTAAAGGGTGGAATCAATATTTCAAAATAAGATAAAGCCTGTAAATTAGACAGATGCAATGTCTTTTTCCTTATTTTATCAGTGTAAATATAACATTAGCATAATATTCTAGTGATATAAAACTTAGTTCTGATATGTAGGCTTTCTCAAAGAAAGTTTAACTAATCTAAACTTCCAAGACTAATATATAGGTTCAGCATCCCTAATCTGCAAAATTCAAACATTTGAAAATCTTTAAGCACCAACATGCAGCCACAAGTAGAAAATTCCACAGCTGATCACATATGACAGGCTGCAGTCAAAACACAGGCATGTAAAACTCAGTTTATTCAGCATCCTTAAAGGAAAAATATAATTACCTTCAGGCCATTTGTATGAGGTGTACACAAAACATAAATGAAATTCCTGTTTAGACTAGGGTCCTACACCCAAGGTATCTCATTATGTATTTGGTAATATTCCAAAATGCAAACCAACCCACCAAACAAAAAAAAAAAAACCCCAAATCTGAAACACTTATGGTCCTAAGCATTTTGGATAAGGGATACTCAACCTACACTGATTTTAAAAATCAGTATATTGCATTCATAAATATTCAAGATTAGGCAAATGTAGATATATGTGTCCAACTAGTATCTTATAATTTACAGACAGTGCCAGAAATTATGTGAATCTACAATTACTTTACTCAAAGTAAATACCAGAAATGGCATATTTTTCAGGCAATTTTTAACTTAAGACTGATTATGTTGTTTTTCAATTTCTAAGATCTCTGTTAGGAAATCATTATAAGAATAAATATTCTTGTTAAAAAATTCAAAAACAAAACTACACAAAGTGTTCCCATGCAGTAATTTTACTTATATTTTTGCCTAAACTAATGAGATCAGCCTTATGTTAATTATTTGAGACTGAAACTTAAAACTTTAAATACCATCTATCAACACTATATATGCTTAAAAACATGTACAATTATTTAGCTTGCCAATAAACAGAAAAAAAAGCTTAAACTTGACAAAAATACTGGTAACTAAAAAAGAATTATAACTTGGTGTATTTCTGTCCTCCATATGAAAAATAACTATTTTTTGTCTTCTGTATACTCAACTTAGAAATACAAGCTCTATTTTTACTTCACCAGATTTTCAATTTCTCATTCTTTATTTTTAAAATTTTTTACAGATAGGATCTCTCTCTGTGGCCCAGGCTGAAATGCAGTAGTACAATCATAGATCACACAGCCCAAACTCCTGGGCTCAAGCAATCCTCCCTCCTCAGCTTCCTGAGTAGCTGGGACTACAAGCACATGCCATCTCATCCTGGCTAATAATAATAAATTTTTTAGAGACAGAGCCTTGCTACATTGCCCAGGCTGATCTTGAACTCCTGGCCTCAAGTGATCCTCCTGCCTTGGTCTCCCTCAGCCTCCTGAGTAGCTAGGAATACAGATGCAAGCCACAGCTCCTGGCTTTAATTCTCATTCTTATGCTTCTGTGTTACCTTTTACCAGGCTTCTTAGTCAATTTAAATAACAAGGATTATTCACTTCAGGAGGGTATATAATTCTTCATAATTATAGTAACTCCTGTTACTTTTAAAAAACTAATTAATTTTTAAATTGACAAAAAATGTGTATATTCATTGTGTACATTTTGAAATATATATACATTGTGACATGGCTAAATTGAGCTAATTAACATATGTATCACCTCACATACCTATCATTTTTTGTGGTGAAAACACCTAAAATCTACTCTTAGTGATTTTCAAGAACACAATATATTGTTATTAACTGTGGTCATCACGTTATACAATAGATCTCTTGAACTTATTCCTTCTATGTGAAAATCCTTTGACCAACATCTTCCCCAACCACTCCCATCCCCTCGTAACCACCATTCCATTCTCTGCTTCTATGAGTCCAACCTTTTTAGACTGCACATATAAGTAAGATTGTGTGGTATTTGTCTTCTGTGGCTTATTTCACTTAACATAACATCCTCCAGGTTCATCCATGTTGTTGCAAATGATTCTGTTACATTTATTGAATTAGCATTCTGATCAATGAAACAGCCAAGAAAATTCAATGCTTTTCTTGTAACTAGCCTATTTTTAGGATTCTGATATTGCCTGTCTTAAATCCAAGTCCCAAATATAGAATAATGAAACTGTTAAGATGTATTTTACACCTAGAACAGTCTTCTTCCCATTACACATATATTTTGGGTTTCCAAGACAGCTTCCTGGGCAACCACAATGACTTGCTCCTTGGATTGTACAGCATTTTTTTAATGTGCTCAACATCGTTGCGAGAGCTGCTGTTTTTCTTTAAATTAAAACAAGGATTAAAAACAAGAGAAAAAAAGATAGGTTTCACTTTAAGACAATGATAGGTAAGCTGCTTGTTATTAATATAAATGTTTCGGTAATTCTATACTTTTCAGGTTGAGAAAAACACATATTTGTGTAAAAGTACAAAGGTTAGGGTGTACAGCATTTTCCCAGCCTCCACCTGCCAATTCTAGAATGAACACACAGGTCAGATAATGCCCCTACATCCTCTCCTTCTCTGTCCAACATTCCCTCCATGTCCTTGGCTAGACCTATCTCTGTTGTCCCTTGAGAGGAAGATTTCTATAAGATTCCCTCAAGTAGATAGACAGCTTCTTCCTCTTATATCTCAGCACTACAGAGTGGGATGAATGTCCTTGTTTTGTAATGTGGCTTCCACACCAGTACCTACCATACTTCTTTTAGGATCATCCACAGGCCTCCTGGTTTCACACATTGCCTTGAATATTTGATCACCCACCAGCCTCACATCCTCTCCACACCAGTACCTGTGAGCACTCTCAGGGTGCTCCATAGGGCTCAGCCTCTGGCTAAGGCTCCAACTTCTTAGCAACACTGACCTCACCTGCACTGTGAACGCTGTTCACAGACACTGCACAATCTTCACATTCTCTCCTGTGTACATTCCCTTCTCTGACACAGCCTTTTCTTCTATCTTCTGACTCACTTTGCTCAAGCATCATGGGCACATTGGTTCCTGACCTTATTTGGGGCTCCAATCCATGACCTTTCAGCTTAAACACCATCATACTTTACTCCTTCATACAACTGAGATCCAATGGACTTATATATCCAACTGACCTTTTATGGAACAACAGATTCAGTGGAGAGTCTATGAAACCACTATGGTGCTCTCACAAGGATGCTGTTATGGGCTGAGTTGTGTTCCCCCCAAATTCTTATGTTGAAGCTGTAACCGCTAATGTGACTGTATTTGGAGACAGGGCCTTTAAAGAGGTAATTGAGGTTAAATGAGGTCATAAGGGTGGGCCCTAATCCAATGGGGCTGGTGGCCTTTTAAGAAGAGGAAGAGACAACCAAGATGTGTGAGCATAGAGAAAGGGCTATGTGAGGACACAGGGGGAAGGCAGCCATCTATAAGTTCAGGAGTGAGGCCTCAGAGCAACCAAACCTGCTGACAACTTGATCTTGAACTGCTGGCTTCCAGAACTATAACTAAATGAATTTCTGTTGTTTAAGCCACCTGGTCCCTGTTACTTCGTGATGGTGGCCCAAGGCGATTAATACAGATGTTTTACTTCCTTTGCCCTGACCTTCCTTCTTTCCTAGCGCTGTAGTAAAACACCTACTCATCGGCCTCAGTCAAGCCCTGGGCAAGTCTCATGAAATTTATCAGTTATTAAGTAAACATGAAAGGCCAAAGTCCCTATTAAAAATTAACACCACTTGGTTTGACAGCAAATGCAACACCAGCTATATGCTGCTGCTTAAAAGCAAAACACCCAAATGACATTGTTTTCATTTTAAAATAAAAGGATGAACAATAAAATAGAAAAGTATGCACAAGAAAGTATGGTGCTAAGACTAAAAAGAAATAAAGAGGAAGTTAAAGGAAAGAATAGCTCATGGAACTAAGAGAATTTCAGTATTAAAAACTTCATTAATGAGCAAGATAAAAATATCCTAAACCTTTACATACCTAATAGAACAATAAAGTAAAATATAACACAAAAACTTAGAAATAAATGGAGAAGTTGATATAAATTACAAGGACTGTGGAGAGTTTTAGAATTCCTTCTAACAGATGAACAGTAAGGATACAAGCTAGTTAAAAAACAGCAACAATTTATATTATGTATGCTACAGTCCCTCAACTCGAAGACAGAATTAATCAATTTAATAAAAACAAGAGGAGAAAATTTCTTACCCAGAAAAAGAAAATATATACTTCTGTGCAAACATTTATAAAATTGCCAAAAGAATTTTAAAAATTAAAACACATATATAATTTCTTAAAGTTATCTATGCCTCTGTCATTTAAGAATAATGCAAAGTAGGATGAAAAATTCTCAGCAGCTCCTTGTCCAACCCTCCCCAATTCTATCCCCACAGAGGTAACCACCAGTAATAGTGTAACCACTAGTAATGGTAAGTAACAACAGAGTTCTATGTTCACATAAACATATGGATATATACTCTTTCATATACTTCTCTTTAACAACAAACTCAACTGCGTAATATACAAAGTCCTGTAACTTTTTCACTTAATAAGGTATCCACTTAGTATCTGATTTAAAGAAGATACAGCAAAATTTGATTATATTTAGTGAACAGATAGGAAATCTCACCACAAAGAAAAGTGTAGTAAAAGTGAATGGAAATTGCAGAACTGACAAATAAGTGAAATGAAGGATTCACTGGCCAGAGCTTAGCATATTGGAAATGACAAATGAGACAGTAAACTGGAAGACAGACCAACAGAAATCATCCAGTCTAAAGAACAGAGAGAAAAAAAGATTTAAAAATACGGAAAGGATCTATAACCTGTGAGATTATATAAAAAGGACTAATATATATGTGCCTATAGTCCCAAAAGGGGACAGAGAGAATCAGGAAGATAAAAACATGTAAAGGAAGAATGGACTTCAGGCAGTCACATCACTGTGAAACTGCTGAATACCAAAAGTCCGGTGAAAAGTAGCCAAGGAAATAAAGGTAAATTATGTTCATGGTGACTTCTCCATCAGAAACAGGGACAGGCAGAACAATGGAATGTTATCTTTAAAGTGCTGAAAAAATAACCAAAGTAGAATTCTACATCTAGTGAAGATACACTTCAAGAATGAAGGCAAAATATAAAGACACTTTCAGGAGCAATAGAGAATACATTGCCATCTGTACCATAAGAAATGCCAAATGAAGTCCTTAAGGTTCAAGAAAAATAATACAAAAGGTAAACTCAGATTTTCAAAAAAAAAAAAAAAAAAAAGAAAATGATAAATTATCTGGATGAGTTAAAGACTATTTTTTCTCTTAATTAAAAAAATACATGGTAGAAAACAAATCCATGTGAGTATTTAAAACCAACATTTTAACATTGTAATACGGAGTGTATAATACAAATGACAACTATAGCACAAAGGATGTTGGGAGGAGGGGGTGATTGGAATTGTGCAATTGCAATGCTCTTACATTTTATATTTTACCCAGATTAAGTATTAAGAGAATATAAAAAGTTAAGGCTATGTCTTATACTCCCTTAGAGCACGGGCCAGCAAACTTCTTCTTAAAAATAGTAAATAGTTCAGGCTTTGATGGTTAAGAGGCAAAATTAAGGATATTATATAGATATTTATGTAACATTATAAAATGTAAAAGCCATTCTCGAGTAGCTCACAGTCTTTTTAGAATTCCATTTCAATTTGTCTATTGGCTTTTTACATTTCTTCCTTCCACTGGGTTTGCCTTCTTTCTTTAGGTCACAGTTGTTTCCATATTTTTGATGATCTTTTGTAAAAACAGTAACAAGAGAAAGAAGCCCATGACTATAAAAGAGAACTGAGTGAGCCAGAGAGGAGAAACCCAGTGGGAGGAAAAACAGCTTCCTAGCGGAGGAAGGAGACAAGAGACACCAGGAAAGCCCCATCCATACTCGGATGAAGATGGAGATCTGGAAGGGAGGCCGTGTCAGGCAATCTAAACAGCAGCCCGGGAGGTCAGGGGAACAGCTTTCCTACCCAGCACCTGAGCAACGCCCCCTCTCCCCCAGTCCTCTGAGCTGCTGAGCTCATGTCTCATCCACCCAGTGTTTTCCCACTCACCTGGACAGGTAGCCGGTGAACAGTTTTTCTCCTCTCTCCAGGTCTCTTTCCCTTGCTCCAGCTGGGTGATGAGTTCTGGTTTAGAAAATGAAATTCCTGCTCACAGGAAAAGAAAATAAGGTAACTAGGTTATGGGCTCAAGAGCCCATTCAAGAATTCAGAGCCAAACAGCCTAGGAAACTTCAGAGGTAGTACAAAGCCCTGAGTTGGAAGGGGTGGGTGGGGCTCTCAGAAATGGAAGGGATGAGTGGGCAGCGAACTCAGATAGTACACTGGGCTGGACGCGGTGGCTCAAGCCTGTAATCCCAGCACTTTGGGAGGCCGAGACGGGTGGATCACGAGGTCAGGAGATCCAGACCATCCTGGCTAACACGGTGAAACCCCATCTCTACTAAAAAAATACCAAAAACTAGCCGGGCGAGGTGGCGGGCGCCTGTAGTCCCAGCTACTCGGGAGGCTGAGGCAGGAGAATGGCGTGAACTCGGGAGGCGGAGTTTGCAGTGAGCTGAGATCCGGCCACTGCACTCCAGCCTGGGCGACAGAGCGAGACTCTGTCTCAAAAAAAAAAAAGAGAGTACACTGATTCTATTTCATGCCGGGTAGATGAACACTCCTCTCATTTAAAACAAGTTAACATAGGATGAGAACCCCAGTCTGAGAAAAAAGGGCTAGAAATGCAGAGTAGCACACACAATACACATATGTACACATACAACAAAATCTACTCATTTTCGACTCTGCAAAATCAGACCCTCCCCGGGAAAACAGGAATAAAATGTCGTTGCTTTTTAGTCCAACCCAAAGGTCAAGTAATAAAGCAAGATGGCTGCTTCAAGCATAGCCTAAAATTCCCAGCAATAAGAATGGGAATCCTCACAGATATCAGGCTTACCCAGTGAGACCAGGTTGCTGTAGTTCTCCAGCATCACCTCTCTGTACAGAGTCCTTTGAGCAGGGCTCAGCAGCCTCCACTCATCCTGGGTGAAATCCACAGCCACATCCCTGAATGCCATGTGTGCCTGTAACACAAAACCGAGCCCTGCTCACTCAGAAGCCAGCCTTGCCCGTGGCTGGGTGAGGGGCAGGCAGAAGGCTGCCCTGGGGGAGGCAGGTGAGATATAAAGATCCCTGCCTTTGACAGTGACCCTGGTGCCCTGTGTTCCAAGACTTTTAAATCCCTGTCTCTATCCAGCCAGTGGCATTTGTGAACCCATACAGTCAAGGTCCTGGGGGGCCACACAGGGTATATGTGCATGAAGTGGAGTCCCTACATTTTGGGAACTTTAAATCTAGGCAGTCAGAAGAGCAAGCAACATATAAAATGTAAGCAACAATAAAGGACAGCAGATTTTCTGAGTTCAAAGAATTTAAAAGATCAAATAATCCACTGTAACTCAGTAATTCCTCAAAATCCTATGGCTTGGCTTTCTCGAGCCTGATGGTCACAAGCAGAGAGTAGTGAAGTACTGGAATCATGGTGCCTGGGTTTCAGACCCACCTCCGCCACCAACTAGTATCCCAGTTTTCTTACCTGTGAAATGTAGAGAACAGTTCATTAAACTTCCAGACACAGACTGTGAGTGCTCACCATGGAGCTTCTTGGCCACAGTCCAAAATTTCACCTTTGCACCCTATTCTCATGCCCCTGCCCAGTTTTATTCTTTTAATTTTCTTAGCACTATTTCCAAATGGAGGACAAACTGGAATAGAGATTAGAAAGGGTTTTCTAAGACAGGGTCTGGCAACTTGGTCTTGGAGAATGGATTGGAATCAAGGGAAGAAGAAAGTGCTAGGAACTACAGATGAGGCATGTGGGGAGCAGGGACAAGGACATTAAGAGCAAAGGAAGACAAAGCCAAAATGTAGGCAGGGATGGCTCCCTAGGAGGAATAAAAGCCACCTATTGGTAGAATCCAGAACTTTGTCATCACCTCACACTCAAACACCAACTATTAAACAATAACTTCCCATTCTTTCCTCCCCCTAGATCCTGGCAGTGACCATTTTGCTTTCTGTCTCCATTATATATGTGGTTATTCTATGTGGCTACAATAAGTGGAATCATATACATCCTTTTGTGTCTGACTTATTTCACTTAGCATGTCTTCAAGATTTAGCCATGTAGAAGCATGCACTCAGAATTTACTTCCTTGTTAAGGCTAAATAATACTCCATTGTGTGTATATACTACATTTTGTTTATGCATCTGTTAATAGACATTTGGTTTGTTTCTAGCTTCTGGCTATTCTTCCATGCACATGGTTGTATAAATATTTGTTGGAGTCCCTTCAGTTCTTTTGGGCATACACTCAAAAGTGGAATTACTGGATCAAACAGCAATTCTATAGGAACCACCATACTGTTTTCCACAGCAGCTGCACCATTTTGCATTCCCACCAGCAACGCACAAGGGTTCTATTTTCTCCACATCCTTGGCAACACTTACTGCCTTCTAGTTTTGGGTTTTTTTTTTTTTTTTTTAAAAAGTAATAGCCATACAAATGGGTATAAGGTGGTATCTCATTGTGGTCTTCATTTGTATTTTCTTAATGTGAGTGATAGTGAACATCTTTTCAGGTGCTTATTAGCCACATGTATATCTTTGCAGAAATGACTATTCAAATCCTTTGTCCATTTTTAAGCTGGAGTGTTCTTTTATTGTTGTTAAGCTGTAGGAGTTTATATATTCTAAATATTAATCCCTTATCAGATATGTGACTTGCAAATATATTCCCTTCCTTTGATGAATGAAAGTTTTAAATTTTGATGAAGTCCAAGTTTGCTATTCTTTTCTTTTATTGCCTATGTTTTGGTGTCATTTCCAAGAAATAATCACCAAATCCAATGTTATAAAGATGTTCACCTATGTTTTTATCTACAAATTTTATAGTTTTCACATTTATGTTTAGGTCTTCGATCCATTGTCAGTGCATTTGCATATACGGTGTTAGGTAAGGGTTCAACTTCATTCTTTAGCATATAAATATACAATTTGCCCAACAGTGTTTGTAGAGTATAGTCTTTCTCATATTGAATGGTCTTGGCACTCTTGTCAAAAATCATTTGACTATATATGCAAGGGTTTATTTCTGGGCTCTCTATTCTGTTCTATTTGTCTATAAGTCTGTTTTTATGGCAGTACCACAGTTTGGGTTACTGTTGCTTTGTAGTAAATTCTGAAATCAGGAACTGTAAATCCTCCAACTTGGTTCTTTTTCATGATTGTTTTAGGTATTCAGTGTCCGGTGAGATTCCATATCAAGTTTAAGATGAATTTTTCTATTTCTTAAAAAAAAATTGTTATTTTTATAGGGATTACATTGACTATGTAGATTGGTTTGACTGGTATTATTATTTTAACATTTTAACGGCCGGGCACAGTGGCTCACACCTGTAACCCCAGCACTTTGGGAGGCCGAGGCAGGTGGATCACCTGAGGTCAGGAGTTCAAGACCAGCCTGGCCAATGTGGTGAAACCCCGTTTCTACTAAAAATACAAAAATTAGCCAGGTGTGGTGGCAGCGCCTATAATCCGAGCTACTCAGGAGGCTGAGGCAGGATAATCACTTGAACCTGGGGGATGGAGGTTGCAGTGAGCCAAGATCGTGCCACTGCACTCTAGCCTGGGCAAAAGACCAAACTCCATCTCAAAAAAAAAAAAAAAAAAAAAGTTTTCCATTCTACAAACATGTGATGTCTTTCCATTTATTTACATCTTCTTTCTTACAGCAGTATTTTGTAGTTTTCAGTGTATGTCTTTCATCTCCTTGGTTAATTCCTAAGCATTTTATTCTTTTTTTTTTTTTTTTGAGACGGAGTCTCGCTCTGTCGCCCAGACTGGAGTACAGTGGCCAGATCTCAGCTCACTGCAAGCTCCTCCTCCCGGGTTTACGCCATTCTCCTGCCTCAGCCTCCCGAGTAGCTGGGACTACAGGCGCCCGCCACCTCGCCCGGCTAAGTTTTTTGTATTTTTTTTTGTAGAGACAGGATTTCACCGTGTTAGCCAGGATGGTCTCGATCTCCTGACCTTGTGATCCACCGGTCTCGGCCTCCCAAAGTGCTGGGATTACAGGCTTGAGCCACCGCGCATTTTATTCTTTTTGATGCTATTTTAAATGAAACTGTTTTCCTCATTTTCTGTTAGGATTGTTCACTGTTAGTGCATAGATATGCAACTGATTTCTGTGTGTTGACTTCATATATTAGTTCTAATAGGTTTGTGTGTGTTTAGTCTTTAGGGTCTTCCACATTTAAGATCATACCACCTGAAACTGAGATAACTTCACTTTTTCCCATTCAGATGGCATTTGTTTCTTTTTCTTGCTTATTTTCTCTGGCTAACACTTCCAATACTCTGTTGGCTATAAGTGGCAAAAGTGGGCATTGCTGCCTTATTGCTGATGTTGGAGCCTTCAGTCTTTCACCATGGAGTATGTTAGCTGTGAGATTTTCACATATGGCCTTATTATATAGTGACTTCCTTCTATTTCTAGTTATTTTCTATAAAAGGGTGCTAAATTCTGTCAAATACTTTTCTGCATTGAGATGACCATGGTTTTTTGTTGTTGTTATATGTTTCATCTGTTAATGTGATATTTTATATGCATTGATTTTTTTGCGGGGGGGAGGGCCGAGTTTTTGCTCTTGTTGCCCAGGCTGGAGTGCAGTGGCACGATGTCAGTTCACTGCAACCTCTGCTTCCTGGGTTCAAGCAATTCTCCTGCCTCAGCCTCCTGAGTAGCTGGGATTACAGGCATGTGCCACCATTCCTGGCTAATTTTTTTGTATTTTTAGTAGGGATGTGGTTTCACCATGTTGGCCAGGCTGGTCTCGAACTCCTGACCTCAGGTGATCCACCCACCTCGGTCCCCCAAAGTGCTGGGATTACAGGCGTGAGCCACTGTGCCCAGCCATATACCCATTGATTTCTGTATGTTGAACAATCCTGCATTTCAGGAAAAAATTCCACTTGGTCATGGTGTATAATTCTTTTCAAATGCTGCTGAATTCAGTTTGCTAGTATTTTGTTGAATTTTTTTGCAACAATGTTCATAAACGATGTAATTTTCTTGTAGTGTCTTTGTCTGGTTTTGGTATCAGAGTAATGCTGGCCTCACAGAATGAGTCAGGCAGTGTTCCCTCCTCTTCAGTATTTTTGGAGAAGTTTGAGAAGAACTAGTGTTAGTTCTCTAAACGTTTGGCAGAATTCACCAGCAAAATCATCAGGTCCAGGAGGCCCTGATTCTTTGTCAGGATGGTTTTGATTACTGATTCAATCTCCTCAGTAATTATACACTTATTCAAAATTTCAATTTCCTCATGGTTCAGTCTTGATAGGTATTGCATTCTAATAATTTGTCCACTTCATCTAGGTCATCGATTTGTTGGCACACAATTCATAGTACTCTTGTACAATCCTTTTTACTTCTGTAGAAACAATAGTAATGTCCTCACTTTCATTTCTGATTTTAGTAATTTGAGTTTTCTTATTTTCTTAGTCAATAAAGCTAAAGGTTTGTCAATTTATTTAATCTTTTCGAAGAACCAACTTTAAGTTTTGTTGCTTTCTGCTATTGTCCTTCTATTCGCTATTTTATTTGACTCTGCTCTAGTGTTTATTATTTCCTTCCTTCCGCTAGCTTTAGGTTTAGTTTGTTCTTCTTTTTCTAGTTCCCTAAGTTGTAAAATTAGGTTATTCTTTGGAGACTTTGCTTTCTAATGTATTTCAGCTAAAAATTTCCCTCCTAGCACTTTACTTCATCTCATAAGTTTTCCTATGTTGTGTTTTTGTTTTCACTTGACTCTAAGTAAGGTCTAATTTCCCTTATAGTTTCTTCCTCTACCTACTGGTTTAAGAGTATGTTCTTTAATTTTCACGTTTGTGAATTTTAAAATTTTCTTTCAGTTATTCGTTTCAAGCTCAACACTTTTTATGATATCAGTCTTAATTTGTGGCCTAACATGTAGTCTACCCTGCAAAATGCCCCATGTGTACTTGAGAAGAATGTGTATTCTATTTTTGTTGGGTACAATGTTTGGAATATGTCTATTATATCTATTTGATTTACGCCTTGTTCAAATCTTCTATTTCTTAACTTTTTGTCTTTCTTATTGTTCTATCCATTATTTAGAGTGGGGTACTGAAATCTCCAATTATTATTATAAAACTTACTTCTCCCTATAATGCTGTCCATTTTTGTTTATATATTTTATGGGTCTGTTATGAGGTGTATGTGTATAATTTTTATATCTTCTTGCTGTATTAAATCTTTTGTATTAATGTCTTCCTTATCTCTTGTAACCTTTTTCAATTTAAAGTCTATTTTTTCTGGTATTAATGTAGCCACTTCTACTGTCTTTGGTTACTATTTGCATGAAACATCTTTTTCCATTCTTTTACTTTGAAACTATTTGTGCCTTTGGATGTAAAGTGAGTCTCTTGTAGACAGCATACAGTTAGATCTTTTTTTTTTAAATCCACTATGCCAAATTGTTTTAGAGTTTAAAGCATTTACACATAAAATAATTACTGATAAGGAGGTACTGATTTCTGCTATTTTGCTTTTTGTTTTCTACATGTCCTACAGTCTTTTATTCTTCATTTCCTGTATTACTGTCCTTTTTTTCTTTGTTGATTTTTTTAATGCAACTTTAAAATTCCCATCTCATTTGCATTTCTCTACATCCTACAGCTATTTTCTTTGTGGTAACCAAGGGGATTACATTTAATGTCCTAAACTTTAAAAACTCAAATTTGAACTCATCAGCTTAACTTCAATAGCATATAAAAACTGTGTTCCTATACAGCTCCATCTCCAACTCATTATTGATGTCACAAAATTACATCTTTATGCACTGTGTGGTCAAAAACATAGATTTTTTTTTTAAATGCAGTAGTCTCCTAAGTCTCATATAGAGAACAAAAAGTGAAGTTACAAAGCACAGTCACAGTAATACAAGTTTATATTACTACCTGTGTATTAATTTTTAATGGAGAACTTAATTTTTTCATATGGCTTCATGTAACTGTCTAATGTCCTTTTATTTCAACCTGAAAGACTCTCGTTAATATTTCTTGTAGGGTAGGTCTAGTGGTTGTAATCTCCACCAACTTATCTGAGAATGTCTTAATTTCTGCCTCAGTAATGAAGGGCAGTTTTGCCAGATATAGAATTCTTGGTTGGCAGGCTTTTTTGTTTGTTTGTTTTCTTTTAGCACTTTGAATATATCAACCCACTGCCTTCTGGCCCGAGAGGTTTTTCATAAGAAATTTGCTAATAATCTTATTGAGGATCCCTTGTACGTAGCATTGCTTTTCTCTTGCTGCTTTCAAAAATCCCTCTGTCACCTGTGGCTTTTGGTGCTTTGATTACATTGTTTCTCAGTATGAGTCTTTTTGAGGTTTTCCCACTTGTAGTTCATTGAGCTGCTTGGATGTTTATATTCAAGTCTTTCATCAGACTTGGGAAGTTCTCAGCCATTATTTCTTCAAGCAATCTCTCTGTCCCCTTTTCCTCTTCTCCTTCTGGGAATCCCATAAAGGGGTAGTTGATCCACTTGATAGTATCCCATAGTTCCCTCAAGCTCTGTTCACTTTTCTTTAACCTTTTTGTCTGTGTCCCTTAGACTTGATAATTGTCCTCTCTCTTGGTTTGCTGATTCTTCTGTCTGCTCAAATCCATTTCTGAATCCCTCTAATGAACTTTTAATTTTAGTTGTACTTTTTAGCTCCAAAATTTATTTTTGGTTTATTTTTATGTTTTCTATCTGTTTATTGATATTTCCAGTTTGTTCTTACGTTGTTTTCTTGACTTTCTCCACATCTTCCTTTAACTCTTTAAGATGGCTGTTGTAAAGTCTTTGTTTAGTAAGTCCACTATCTGGCCTTTGTCAGGGATGTTTTCAGTTTATTCATTTTTTTCCCCTTTGAATGGGTCATATTTTTCTCATTCTTTGTATGCCTTATGATTTTTGTCAAAAACTAGACATTTAAATCTTATAAAACAGCAACTCTGTAAGTCAGAGTCTCCCTTCTGTTTGTATTTTCGTTTTTTTTTAATATTGATGTAGGGTGTCCCTATGCTAGGAATTAGTCCGAGGTGTAAGCTTAAAGTCTTCTCAGGTCTTTTCTGAGCCCATGCCTTTCCATGGGTATACCTTCTGCATTCCTCCATATGCAGCTGTTTTTCAATACACTAGTCCTCAAATATTTGGCTCTCAAAGGGGAAAAAGAGAACTTCAGTGGGGGAAAATAGACTCTGGCTACTTAAATCCCCTAAAAGCCACTTTAGCCAGTGGGGGTTGCAATTGGCTGAAGTAGCTTTCAGGGGATTTAAATGGACCACCTCTGTGATCAGAAACAGCAATTAACAATTAGAACACACATCCTCAATATTTGGAGTAAAGGGTCCTTATTGTCCACCATGTGTCCCACAAGCCATGTAGAAGCTGATCCAGGAATACAGGATGGCTACCTGCCATAGGGCTGGCAGGGTGGATGATAGGTAGCTGCTACTATACTAGGAGCTAAAATTAGCTGTGACTTACCCTCTATACTTTCTTCCATCTGGGAACTGGAGGCCTTCAACTAGACTCCGGAGTTCCAAAATAGGTACACCTGACAGATTCTGCCAGTATAATCATATGTACTTTCCATTCCATTACTGTGATGTTACTCTCAGGCAGTAGAACTTTTGAAGCTGAACAAAGAAATGCAGACTCTAGCCGGGCGCGGTGGCTCAAGCCTGTAATCCCAGCACTTTGGGAGGCCGAGACGGGCGGATCACGAGGTCAGGAGATCCAGACCATCCTGGCTAACACGGTGAAACCCCGTCTCTACTAAAAAATACAAAAAACTAGCCGGGCGAGGTGGCAGGCGCCTGTAGTCCCAGCTACTCCGGAGGCTGAGGCAGGAGAATGGCGTAAACCCGGGAGGCGGAGTTTGCAGTGAGCCGAGATCGCACCACTGCACTCCAGCCCGGGCGACACAGCGAGACTCCGTCTCAAACAAAACAAAACAAAAAATGCAGACTCTATCTCAAACTGTAGAATTGTGTGTTGTTCAGTTAACTACTGGGTGAATAACTGTGTCATGGGTTGTGCAGAAAGCGATGCTGAGGCAGGGAAGCCAGTGAGAGGAATTGGAGCTGAACTCTACTAGGCACCAATAAGGCAGTCAGGGTAAGAGAAGGGGATGTGTCCGTCCTGTTACAGCCAGTAATGGAGACAGGAAACACTCACCATTCCCCCTGGCTCTCCGGGACCCTGTGGCCTTTTTTCCTTGTCTCCCTAAAGAAGGATGATATCTCAGAAGGTAGATCTGGGTAAGGAAAACAGAAATGAGATGGTGTCAGGTGGAAATGCTGTCCTCATGAGTGAAGCAGGGCCTGCTCTTTAACCCCACAACTGGGGGAGCAGTGGCATAATGGGGAATGTATAAAGCAAGGAAACAATACTGCTTGGAAACAGCAAAGGAAAAGAAAAACAAGCAAGAGAGGGTAATCCAGGGTCTTGCAAAACAAAAGAGAAAAACAAAACAACAACAACAAAATCCCAAAGGACGCACCACCTCTCCATCCCCTGCAATCCAGTAAAGAAACTGTACCTTGCTACACTGGCAGAAGCATTTTCCTGAACTACGGAAATCTCAAGAACACTAGAATCTGACAGTTCTGTTTACAGAAATGCAGACATGCAAACAGTTGTAGTCTATTAAAAAAATGAAAATAAGAATCTAAACAATTCAGCTAAAGAAAATTCCACCAAAAAAAAAAAAAAATAATAAGACAGAAAAAAAATTAACAAAACCGTAACATTAAACTAAATTAAATATCTTCAAACAAACATTTTGGGATATGAGATATCATCATGAATTAAAAATTCAAAAACTAAGAATAGAAATGGACAAAAAAAGTAAAGAAACAAAAAGATTTCAACAAACTTTTGAAAGAAACCAAAGAAAAAGACAATATTATATGAGAAATGAAGATGAACTTATAAGACACTCAAGGAGAATAGATTGAAATGAAAACATAATGAGCACTTAGTAATAGCCAGAAAACAAGAGAATGAAGTGAAATAAGAAGTAAAAAGGATCAGAAAGAAGCTGGATAGGAAACCAGACAAAGAAGTAATATTCATATAATTTGTTCCTAGATACTGAAACAATGGAAATATTTAAAAGTATAATGTAAGAAAACATTTTAGGCCGGGCGCGGTGGCTCAAGCCTGTAATCCCAGCACTTTGGGAGGCCGAGACGGGCGGATCACGAGGTCAGGAGATCGAGACCATCCTGGCTAACACGGTGAAACCTCGTCTCTACTAAAAATACAAAAAATCATTAGCCGGGCGAGGTGGCGGCGCCTGTAGTCCCAGCTACTCGGGAGGCTGAGGCAGGAGAATGGCGTGAACCCGGGAAGCGGAGCTTGCAGTGAGTCGATCGCGCCACTGCACTCCAGCCTTGGCGACAGACCGAGACTCCATCTCAAAAAAAAAAAAAAAAAAAAAAAGAAAACATTTTAAAAATAGATTACCTGAATCTAAATATGAAAGGGCCTATGGGATATGAGGGAAAGGTTGACTCATAACCACCAACTCAAAGACACTAGAAAAACTATTAGACTTTAAAGAACAACAACAGGAATCCAAAGTGACTCTAAGCAAAAAATATGAGTTCTACCAGAGTTTTTGAAATTATCATTCAACCACTGCTCACTGCTGGTGGGAATGTAAAATATGGTATACCCACAAACCAGTATGGTGGTTTCTCAAAACATTTAAAATACAATTATTATGTGATTCATCCAATTCCACTTCTGGCCATATACGCAAAATAACTGAAGGCAAGGACTGGAACAGATACTTGTATGCTCATGTTTATACCAGCATTGTTCACAATAGCCAAATGGTGTAAGCAACTCAAGTGTCCACCAATGGATGAATGAATAACAAAGTGATATGTACATACAATGGAATATTATTCAGACTTAAAATGCAAGGAAATTGACACATGCTACAACATGAACCTAGAAGACATTATGCTAAGTGAAATAAACCAGAAGTAAAAGGTCAGTAAGATTCCATTTATATGAGGTAACCAGAACAGTCAAATTGTGGTTCAGGAGAGGTGGTTGGGGAAAGGGAGAATGGGGAGTTATTGTTTAATGGGTATGGAGTTTCAGTTTGGGAAGATGAAAATATTTCTGGAGATAGATAGTGGTGATGGTTGTACAGCAATATGAATGTACTTCATGACATAGACTTGAACATGTTAAAATGGTAAATTTTATGTTATGTGTATTTACCACCAAAAAAAAGGTTTGGCCAAAAATCATCATTCAAAGCAAGACATGACGGGAAACTTAGCAAAAAGACTGATGATGAGCATTTAATATACATAATTGTAAACTTAGCATGAAAAGGGGAGAAGAGAGAGGAAGAAAACATATGCTAATGGTATAGGGCAGTGTCCTGATAAGGTAGAAATGCCACTCAAATAGAAGACACAGGGGAAGAAGAAAGCAGAAAAAGGTTGCTGATCATATCATAGGCAATAGGTGAGAATTAAAAGGAATACACAAAATGAAATTATAGAATTGCTTAAAAATGATGTAATAAAAAACACTACATATATACAGGATTTATTTAAAACAGTGAGGTAAGGGAAACTATAGCCTTAAATACTTTTACAAATAGAAAGGAAAGAAAATAATCTAGCCTGGGCAACATGGTGAGACCTCATCTCTACAAAAAATTCAAAAAAATAGCCAGACATGGTGCATACACACACCCCTATGGTCCCAGCTACTCAGGAGATCTAGGAGGGAGGATCACTTGAACCTGGGAGGTTGAGGCTGCAGCAAGCCTGATAGCATCACTGCACTCCAGTCTAGGTGACAAAGTGGGACCCTACCTCAAAAAAAAAAAAAAAGAATAAATTAAATTCCAGGCTCAAAAAGCGAATAAAATAAAGTAACCCAAAAGAAAGCACAAATAACAAAGATGAAAGCATACATTAATGAACAGAAAGCAGTAGATCTAATGAGCCAAGTCCTACTTTGTCAAAAAGAGTAGACAAACACTAGCTAACTGAAAGGGAGAAAGCATAAATATTCAAAATAAGAAGTAACATGGCTGTGAGGGCGATCTGGCTGCGACATCTGTCACCACATTGATCACCAGGGTCGATCCAGCTGATCTGGCTGGCTAGGTGTATGTCCCCTTCCTCCCTCACTGCTCCATGTGCATCCCTCCGGAAGCTGCACACTTGGTCAAGGACGACGCCCATCCCTCATAGAGGAGGACCAGTCTTTGGTCAAGGGTATACGAATAGCTGTGCTCCCCTGTTAGAACCTCCCAACAAGATCTCAAAATAAGAAACAACTAAGGGAAAGTCACCAAAAAACATCTTCTTAAAAGTCATGTAAGACTACTTTATAGACCTCTATATAAATAAATGTGTAGATCTAGATGAAGTGAATAACTCCCAAAATTAACTCCAGATGGTCACAAGGAAATTCTATCAAACCTTCAAACCAGGTAGTCCTTATGCTCCAAATACTGTCCCAAAGCACTGAAAACTAAAGGGAAAAGTCCTCATTCATTTTATAAAGCAAGGATACCATGAGGACCTTAACTTGATGACAGTTCAAAAACAGAAAAATTACAGACTAATTATCACTTACAAATATTGAAGCAAAATTCTAATTAAAATATTAGCAATTCGCAATAACAAAATATTTCACCATGGCAAAGAAAAATTTACCCAGGATTGCAAGACTGGTTTAATTTTAGGGGATCTATTGTTATAATACATCATAATAACAGATGTAAGGAGAAGTCACGATTGTCTCTCTACATGGTAAGATACTCTTTACCAAAACTCAACACCTCTTCTTCAAAAAACAAACCAAAAACTCAAGAATATAGAGTTGATGGATTTTTAAAACTTTTTATTTTGTATTAATTTTAGACTTAAGGAAGTTGCACAAATATCAATTCCCATGCCCTCCACCCAGTTTTCTCTAATGTTAACATCTTAGAAAACCATAGTACAATCATCAAAAGCAGGAAATTAACATTGATGCAATACTATAAACTACAGACCTTAATAATATTTTGCCAGTTTTTCCATGAATGTACTTTTTCTGGTCCGGGATCTAACTGAGGTTTTCACTTTGCCTTTAGTTGTCATGGATCTTTAACCTCCTCCAATCTGTGACAGATTCTCTGTCTTTTCTCGTCTTTCACGAACTTGGCGCTTTTGAAGAGTATCCCTCAGTTTTGGTTTGTCCGATGTTTTTTCATGATTAGAACGAGGTTTTCATTTCTGGTTAGAATACCTCAGATGTGACGCCGTGTCCTTCAGCATATCAATGAGTTCATGATATTGTTATGTCCTTTTACTGGCGATGTTAACCTTGATCACTTGGTTAAGGAGGTGTCTTCTGAGCTTCTCCATTGTAAAGTCACTACGTTTCCCTTTATAATTAATAAATATCTTGAGAGAGATACTTTGAGATTGTACAAATATCCTATTTCTCTTCAAACTTTCAGCCACTAATTTTAGCATATATCTGTGGAACCTATCTGCAATAGTTATTACTGTGCTGTTTACCAAATGACAATGTTCTTTTTCCCCCTTTCATTCTAAATCCATTAATTAGAATTCTTCTGTCAGAGCTATTCTGTCTCCCCATTTGTTTGTATTCATTTATTTATTTATATCAATATGGATTTATATCTTATCCTATGGGTTATAATACAATATTATCACTGCTAATATTGCTGTTATAATTATTCCAGCTTTAAACACTGGGAGCTCTTTCACGTTGGCCTTGTTCCTGCTTTAACCAATACATTTGACACAAGTGACACTGTGCCAGTTACAGGCTTAAGTCCTAAGAAGGCCAGACAGCTTTCACTCTTGGGAGCTCTAACATACCATGTAACAAGTTCAGCCCTGCTGGAAGCTCTTACACTACCTGGAGAGAGGGAGGCCTGCTGTCCCAGCTGACCCCAGCCTTCCAGCTGACCCCAGCCTTCCAGCCAACCCATGAAAATATGTGATGAAACCTATGAAAATATGTCAAATATGTGATGGAACCATCTTGCATGTTCCAACCCAAATGAGTCCCCAAATGACGGCAGCCATAGCAAGATGCATCACTTACATCTCAGCTGATCACATCCGCTTTGGGTAAACCCAAAGAACTGTGAGAGATTAAAACATAGTTGCTCTCCTAAGCCACTCAGTTTTAGAGTGGTTTGTTGTATAGCAGTCAATAACCAGAACCCTTCTCTCTTTCAGCTTACCTAATAACAGAAGCACCTTCCTGTCATCCATGGCGCTTACTCAGTCCCATGACTACTTCCTACCTTCCATATCAAACCAATTATCAAGGCTAATTGATTCCACCTCTGCCAACTCTCTCAATTCCTCCCCACCCCTTCACCAGCTGGAGCACTAGGACAATGGCAAAAGCCTCCTAACAGTCTCTGTAGACCATTTCCCAACATCCTAGTCTGCCTCATCCAATACTCCCAGAATTAGCTTTATATATACAGGTTGGATTATTCTTTCATTTGGCAAGTATTTATTAAGCTCCTACTGTGTGATAGGCACTTTTTAAATCCTGGGGATATAGAAGTGAACAAGGCAAAAACACCCTCACTGACATGAAAGTCTAGAGGAGGAAGATGGACCAATTACACGAATAAATAAAATACACGATGTATCAGAAAGTGATGAATGGCATGAAGAGAAATAAAGCAGGGAAGGGGAAAGGATAGTCACAGAAGTGGGGTGAAATTTTAGAATTTTATATAGGGTGATTTGGGAAGGCATCTCTAAGGTGACTGGGTAAAAATCTCAAGGATGTGAAGAGCCAAGGGAATAACTTTGAAAAGAACATCTAGGGCAAGAGAACAGCCAGTGCAAAGACCCTGATGCAAGGAAGAGTCAGGCTGGCATGGTGAAGGGATGGACAGTTCACCGTGGCTGGTGTGGCATGACTGAAATAGTGTGGTGCAGATGAAGTCTAAGAGTAAATGTGCGGAGATCAGACCTAGCTTTGTAAGATACTGGTTTTGACTTTGGTTAGGATGAGAAGCCATTGGAAGGTTTTGAGCAAACACATGACACGATTCGATTTACATTTAAAATATCCTTCTAGTTGCTCTACTGATTAATGTACCTTAGCAGGACACAGGCAGAAACAAAGAGACCACTCAAAGGCTATGATCATCCAGATGAGACGGTGGCCTGGACCATGATGGAAGCAGCAGGGCATGGAAATGGTCAGAGTCCAGATTTCCGTAGTGTGGATGAGGGTGTAAGAGCAAGAAAGGATCAAGGATGACTCCTTGATGACTCCAAGCAATCTGAAGGAAGGAGCTGAAATGCCCCTGCTCCAAGATAAACTCTTGAAAGAATGGTCTATATACCACTGGGGTGGAACATGTTCAGGGAAGGTGATCAGAGTTTCTTGTTGCACACATTAGGTTTGGGATGCCCGTAAGATATCCAGGTGGGGTGGCGCACACCTGTAGTCCCAGATACTCAGGAGGCTGAGGCATGAGAACTACTTGAAGCCGGGCAGCGGAGGTTGCAGTGAGCCGAGACTGCACCACTGCACTCCAGCCTGGGCGATAGAGTGAGACTCCTGTCTCACCAAAAAAAAAAAAAAAAATCCAAGTGGAAATGTGAAGGAGACGGTAGGGGACCAGGATATGGAGTTGCAGGCAGAGCTCTAGGCTGAGCCTCAAACAGATAGCATTTAAAGCTTTGAGAATGAATGGGAGAACCAAGGAGAGAGTATAGCTGAAGAAGACAGGAGGTCTAAGAACTGAAGCAGGGCCTTTTCCACGGTGGAAATTTGGGAGAGAAGGAAGAGCCAGCAAAGGAGACAGAGGAGGAGCAGCCTATGAGTTAGGAGGAAAACCAGGAAGACCTAGTGCCAAGAGCAACTGTGTGAAAGGTTATATTAAGAAGGAGGATGTAAACAACTACATCAAATGTTGCTGAGAACTGATGGTGGCCTGATTGTGACAGGGAGAACACTGGTAACCCTGACAACAATATTTGTTGATGTCACTTGAAAAAGCCTTACTAGAATATTCAAAAGATAACAGAAGGATAGCAATGGAGACAATAAACATAGATAATTCTTTCAAGGAGTTCAGCTCTAAATGGGAGGAAAGACAAGGCAAGAAGGTGAAGAAGAGACAGGAAGCTAGGGCAGTACAGAAATGGAGACAAAGGGAAAGAAAAGGAATCGAGAAGAATGCACAGGTGGAATGGGAGGACACAACTTTTTAAATTTTGTTTTGAGATGGAGTCTCGCTCTGTTGCCCAGGCGACAGATTCTCCTGCCTCAGCCTCCTGAATAGCTGGGATTACTGGTGTGCGCCACCGCGCCTGGCTAATTTTTGTATTTTTCGTAGAGATGGAGTTTCACCATGTTGGCCAGGCTGGTCTCGAACTCCTGACCTCAGATGAACTGCCTGCCCTGGCCTCCCAAAGTGCTGGGATTACAGGTGTGAGCCACTGTGCCCGGCCAGGAGGACACAACTTCTAATGGGAAGTAAGTTTGGAGACGAGGATGCAAGGAAAACTCAGAGGTATAGCTTAGCTTGTATCAAGTTATAAAGCTGTCAGTACAGATCAGCAAGATCAGAAGAAGTAGGAGAAATGAGGCAGAGATAGGGAAAACTGGGATGCTGTTTCCAGATACTTTTCCCTGTCCTGCCTCTGACCAGGGCTGTTCTGACTGGTGGAAAAAAAGATTTTTTTTTTTTTTTTAACAATGGGGGAAAACTTAATATGAGCTAGATATTAAATGATATTAATAAGTTATTAATTTTGTTGGGTATAACAAAATAAACTGTAACAATGTAACTGTGTAACAATGAAATTGTGGTTATGTTAAAAAAAAAAGAAGTCCTTATGTGTTAGAGATGCCTCCTGAAGTATTCTCAGGTGAAATGATATAACTGGGATTTGCTGCCAACACTCTAGCAGGGAAAAGAGTAAGTGAGAGTATTGGAAGACAGAAGAACGGAATGTTGACAACTTCACAGCATCTGACAAGCCCTGGGAATGAGCAGTCTGAACAAATACTGAAAGAAGGAATGTAGGGGAAGAATATAGGTGTAATGAATGAGAGCATCAGCTCTGAAAAATATTCCCTGTGAAAATGATCACTGTTAAAACAAGCCTAGTTTCCTGAAGGAACCAGCTGGGGCCCTGATCCCTGGATGGGACACTCTAGAACACAGATGTCAAAGCTAGGCAAAGGAAACCCACTCATAGTTCAAAATGCAAAAGGTAAGTGGCACCCACCTGAAGCTGGGCTCTCAAGAGCTCAGGAGTACCCCCTTTCCCCAGCAGGCAGTCCTCTCTGGGCAGACAGGAGCCGCAGGGAGGCAGAACAAGAACAAAAAGCGATCAAGAAAATCAAGGGAAATCCTCAAACTCCAGTAGGGCAGCGCCTCCTCTTCCTTAGCGGCATCAGGAATGAACCTGCCACAGAAGAAAAGGAGAAAAGAATTGTGGGCAGCTTCCTGGGAACACAGCTGGGATACAGGCTGAAAGCACAACCTGCCCTAACATGCTCTTGATGCTGAGCATGAGGTGACCTCTGTGCCTGTTATTAAAGAAAGGTAATATTCACTGAGTACTTAGTATAAGCCAGAGACTGTTACAGCCACTGTAGGAGTTTCACCTCATTCTATCAACAACCCAATGAGATAGATGCTATTATCCTCTTTAGGTTAAATCGAGAAAATTAAGATACAGTGAAGTCAGCCTCTTGCCCAAGGTGACACAGCTATAAAGTGACAGAGCCCAGAGGAAATGTGGCTGTGGAGACCCTGCTCTTACACAGTAAGGGCGGTGACGGTGAACTCTGTGGGTTGCAAGGATTCTCTGTGTCCGTTCTGAGATGAATCAAGATTGGTCATAAGGTGTTAAGTGTTGAATCTGCGTGATGGAGATCTGGTCTATAGAGTTCTATCTACTTCTGGCTGTTCGAAATTTCTCCGCAATAAAAACTTAAATGGAATGTAAAATCCCAAAGCCTGACCACACCAGGGGCCTGGGAATCCGTAATTCTTGCGATCAGTGACGGTCCCTGGGACCTTTGGAAAAACCCTGTCCTGTGGGTCCCGGCCAGACTTCCTCCTCCAAGGCCTGAATCCGGGGGCGACCAACCCAAGTGAAACCCTAAGATCGCGCCAAAATGGTCACCCCAGATCCAGTCTAACCCTGGCTTGTTTGGTCAAACCAGACCGCTCCTCATTCCACTCCAGCAAAGCCGAAGAACAGTGGGGCCCCAAGAGACTAGCCCTCAACCGACCAAAGCCTGGGGGACACATGGCCCCAGGGATGGTCCCCGCTCCGCCACCTGGGAAATACCAGCTCCCTTAAAAGCTTATTTATTCAACTCCCCCAAAACCGGGGACTTATGGCATGAGCGAGAGACCCCCTTTCCCGATTTCAGCCAAAGCCGAACCAGTCCCCACCCACGAGAACCTAGGAGAGATAGCCCGATCCCCCACCCATCACCATCCAGTTTCTCGGATGGGCTTCACCCAACTCCCCCGGAGATGCACGCCCACACCCCCAAAATAAGACATCTGGGAGAGGACGGCCTGCGCCACGCCAGCGCGTTCCCACCACAATCACCACCCCCGCGCCACCCGCACGGTCCCCAAATTCAGCCCATAGTCCAGCCTTTCGGGACATTCCTTTCCGCACAGAAAAGGGTACGGCTGCGGCAAGGGTCCCGCGGGAGCCTCACTCACCAGCGCCACCAAAGAACAAGGGGTCGCTCCAGCCACCAGCTGGGGAGCTCCTCCAGCGGGGCGCCAGGACTACACTACCCCGAATCCTCGGCACCGCGCCCGGACCACACCTCCCAGGATGCTCGGCGCCACCAGGCGCGCCCTGACAGCCGGCAGCTCCCATTGGCCTCTGACGGATCCGTTTCTGAGTAATACGCTCCGGTCACTGGAGAATGGCCGCTGTGGCACCTGAATTCTCCCTCTTTTTTCTTAACCACGTGCATAAAACACGTAGAAAACTCCCGAGAAAAGTGCCTGGCCCTACTGTGACCCTCCCTCTGAGCGCCTCTGCTGGAAAACTACACTTCCCAGTGACCCCTGGAGCGACTTCCGCACCCGGTGCCGGCCCCGCCCCTTGGCGCGCGGAAATGAGGTTTCGGGGCGCATCTGTTCGGCTTCTGGGGTTGGTCGTGGTGTACAGCTGGGTGACCGAACTTCTTCAGGTGCTGGTTCGTGTTGCAGCGTTCTCTGGTCTCCCTGGCTCCAGCCGCCCGCTTGGAAAGTCACGCCCCATATTCCTAAGTAACGGGCGAACGTCATCTCGTGTACACTTCAGCTCCATTTAAAGCCTTGGAAAGGCGGAGCAGTCTTCCCGAAGTCTCACATCCCGATCGAGGTAGACCCGATTCTGAGCCCACGCCCTCAACCCAAATACACCTTTTCGGGTGCCCTGAGACCTTTTTCTTCTCTTTGAAATCTACGAAGTTATGGGCAAACTCTCATCTCCTGGGAAACAGAAGCCTCATTCTTAGGCCAGAGCTTGGCCTGCCGTCCGCTTAAATCTCTAGGCCTTTGTCCGGGATCCTGGTTGAGAACAGGACTGCGCTGGTGCCATCTGGGACGTCCCATCTGGAGAGCTCGAGGGGAAGGCCCACTTCACTCTTGAGAGGGCTTTTCCACGCGTGCACCCTCTCACTGCTCTTCACCTTCCTCAGATAGGCTTTCTGAAACTTAGTCATTCTCTGGGAAGACCAAGGAAATGACCAAGGTCTGAAGGGCCAAGGAGATGAGAATTTCCTAAAATTCTTTTTTAGCTCTCAGAGGGTGAATCCATTGGCTTCTCGTACCCCGAGGCTACATGATTTATTGTGAATGCAGTTCAGTCCTGGCTCCGGAGACATGTCCAGTGTTAATTGGATTCATCCCTCAACATCATTCTCTGCCTCACTCATGAGTCAGTCATCACCAAGAAATTAGTTGTTAATACACATAAAGGTTCAGAACAACAATGCAGGGACGCCCGTGGTCAAGTGTTCACTTGTGCTGGCTGTACAATAAAGACACAAATGGCTGACATCTCTTAAGCTTGGAAATGAAGACTTACAGGATATGCTGCCTGAGGAATTAGGCAAGATGACAAGTTGGAAGAACACAGACGAGTAAGGAAGAGTGTAGGAAGTGTGGACAGAATCTCAGGGTCTGAGCCACTGGGCAGACTGTCATGACCACAGTGAGATTTTCAGTAGCGCATGGTCTTGCGTCCAGCTCATTTGCGTATAGACAAGGATGCCGTCTGGATGTCCACCTCTGTCATACAGATACTTGGGTGTGTCCAGCCTGCTTCCTGTTTCATCCTTGAAAGACCTCAGCATTTAATAATTAGGAGTTTCTGTCTAGAAATCTGGATTGCCTGCTTTCTAAAACACTCCTTGCTGCCATGTCCTCTTTTTCTCCTGGCAATTCCCACCCACTCCATGCCATACCTCATCTGGAATACCCTTAGCTCCTCTGAATCCACCCTGTCCTTCAAGACCAAATACCCAACTCTGTTTCATGAAACCTTCCTATAGTGACTTCTTGAGACTTGAGACTCTGCTAACTCTGGCTGTACTTGGGAGCTTTTTAAAATACAATGCCTGAACACCACCCCAATAAATGAGTTTGCAGTGGAGCCTGGGCATCCATTATTCATAACAGAGCTGCTTTCTTCTTAAGAAGGGAAGATATTGTGTAATAATGTAGAAGAGAGATCTTGTTTTGGAAAATCAGAAGTTTAGTTATTGTTTAGTTGTCACTATTTCTGAACCATATACCTCAGTAGATCATTTAACCCAGTGCTCTCAAAAACATGCATACTTGTCACTTGGGATCTTGTAAGCAGCAAATTCTGAATCAGCATGCCTGATGGACCCCAAGCATCAACATTTCTAATAAGCTTCCAGATGATGCTGGTACTGCTTGTCCTCAGACCAGACTGGGTAACAGGGCTTTAACCCAATCAGAGGCTCAGATCCTTAAATTGAATATAAGCAGCTAGATTAAAGAATCTCCAAATTCCTAAATCTCAGAAAGATAATGATTCTATACTTATGTTTTGGTTTAATATGTTGTCTGTTAAATTTAAAGCACCTCAAGGTTAGGAATTGTGTTTTCATTTGTAAACCCCATAATAGCCAGACTAGCATCTCAACGAATGATGCTGATTGAATAGTGAACAGGGTTAATGGTCCTGGAATCCAAGCTCCAGAGTTACAGTCAAAAGCAGGATCTAGATATTTTACTTATCTTCCCCAAGTAGCCCTCTTGCTCCCTTGTTTTCAACATGGGCACATGTGTCAACAGAGTGAGCAGAGCTGTGTTTGGCATAATGGGTTTTCATGGTATTCAAGGTTTTGGCTGTGGATTTCATCTAAGAGGTATGAAGGTTGTGGAGTCCTACTCAAGGACCTGTACTGGGAGATGGTGCTGGAAAACTATAGCAATCTGGTCTCACTAGGTGATAATGGCTTCTCTTACAGTTTAAAATCTGACCCACTGAGCAGCTTAAATCCCTCATGCCGAAAAGGCAGTGCATGGAGCAGCTGCCAGATATAGCTGACTTTAGCCTTTTGAACTTGAAAACAAAGACAGGTTATTCATGTTTCCCCAGGGAAGGTCACGTTTGTTTGTTTTGATATAGTTGAGAATGGGTAGATAGGGGTGTGTGTGTGTCACTCTTGAGAATTTGCTTTGTCTTTGGTTCTCAGCAGTTTGACATTGATGTGTCTAAATCATTTATTGTTGTTAGGTATTAATCCAGTTTGAGGTTTACTGAGATTCTCTAATCTGTTAACCAATGTTTTTCATTAAATTTAGGAACTTTAGCTGTCATATCTTTAAATAATTCTCAGTTTCTTCTCATTTTGGATAATTCTCAATTTTAAAATTTAATTCTTTCTCAATTTCTTCTTTTGAGTCTCCACTTATACATATGTTAGACCATTTGATATTGTTCCTGAAACTCTATCCAATCTTCAGTATGTTTTTCTGTTTGACAGATTAGTTTCTATTGACCTGTCTTCAGGTTCACTGAACCTTCCTTTTGCCATCTTCAATCTTTTAAGCCCATCTAGCAAATTTTAAATTTTTATTTATTACGTTTTTAGTTCTAGAATTCCCACTTGTTTCTTTTTAAAATAATTTCCACTGAGATTTCCACCCCCATTTGTTTCTTTGTGATGCATGTATTTTTCTTTAGTATGTTTATACTAGCTTCTGTAAAGTCTATGTGCTGAAACCTCTGGACCATCTCAGGATCTATTTCTGTGACTGCATTTTTTTCTTAACAGTGGTCACACTTCCTGTTTTTCTGCATGTCTAGTAATTTTAAAGTTTTTTATGCTGGATGTTTTTTGTGGCATGATTCTAAATTCTTTTATGTTCGTCTGAAAGTGCTTTTTATACCTGTAGGCAGTTTAATTACTGGATGAATGTTTTGAACTTGTACAGGCTTCATTTTATTCTTTGTTAGGCTAGATCTTTGAAAGGTCAAAGTGTTTACCAGGCCCCTCTAACTCACAGGACTCAAACTCCAAGTTCTTTGACCCATGCAGATATTTTTAACGTCCTTATTTTAGTTCCAATTACAATGTATCTAGAGAAGATCTTACTATAAGATGTGGTCCTTATTTTATGGCATGGCCTCTCTAGTTTCACAGCTGAATGATTGAGGTGTTAATGAGGTTTGTTTATTCTGATTGGGCCGGAATGCCTACACTCACCAGCCCTGCTAAACTTCTAGTATTTCCATTCTTCTCTCAAGCAGCTGTTTTCTGGTAATCATTGCATATTTGCGCTGCATAAGCAAAGCTCAACTTCAGCTGAGGTGGGCTTTCCCCACTTTGCACAGCTGCCTCCTTTCTGAGACCTACCCTACCAATGTCATCTACTTCACCATCCCCAAAGTCTTTTTTGCCTCCTCATCTCGGTAAGACTAGTATGCCTTGCCCCCACCATCCTGTATCATGGTCAGGAAATTGTCCCCAAGCAGTTAGCCAGGGCAAATGTAGAACTCATTTTCTGAATTTCCCATCTCTCAGGGATCACAATTTTGTGCAACCTATAGTCCAGGGCCTGAAAATAGTTGCTTTATACTTTCTCCAGTGTTATGGTTATTTATAATGGGAATGATCATCTGATATGAGTTATTCCATCATGGCCAGCAGAACAAGTTAATTTGATAGCTACTGTAAGTCACAAAATTTATATTTATTTTTCTGACTATCCTAGATCTAGGACAAATCCTAATGAAGGCAGCTAATTTGTTATAATCAATAAGACCACAGTTACATAAGGAAATTTAACTGATTGTTGGGTTTGTAGCCCTTTCTCTGAAATACTAGTGAGGTACCTTTTATTAGAATATCTGACAAAAATATCAGCTGCAAGTTTAATAAGGTTCATCAATTTATGTTTCTGCTTAACTCACAGAAATATACCACAAAGGTTAATGATATTCAGTAACCAGTTTTGAAGTAAAATAAAATTAGTTTAAAGGGTTAAAAAAATTTTAAGGTATGTGATTGGTATTACTATTCTTGGAAATACAACATGAATATTTCAACTACAAGGTCTTTTACCTTTTCTGTAAAGACATGTTGTTCTGATGATTGTGGGACATAATTAATTATACTCTTTATATTCAGTTAGTTAATTGGTGTCCTTGTGCTCGTTGAATAATTACACTTTTAAATTGTAACCGCAGGCATATTTTGTGATGTCAGCTCCCTGCCATCTGAGAAATACACTTAAAGAATGTACCAAATTTACTCTGGTTGTACCCTTCCTTGCTGGAGGTATTCATGTCAAGGTATGATTACCACACAATGTCAGTCTTGGAAAGAAGGAGTCTGCCCCTGAGAAATGGTTTTATGTCAATATTTGATTTAGTGTATCTACACTCCCTAGTGAGATCTCAAATGACTTAATTCTTTCTCATCAATGTGCCTGTTGAAATGCAGACTTCTCAGGAGTAGCTGGAGATACTGATTTTTATTGTTTTGTGTGCGAGTTTCTCCCTTGGTTCTGAGTGCCTGAATTTAGTAGGATGCACTTGTAACACTGATGTACAATGTACAATGTAACACTGATGCAGTACTTTTAATAACCTACCATTGGTATTCTAATTTGACACTTGAAGCGTGTCCATTACAATGGCAATTACTGCATATGTAATCTGCGTCTGCTATACAAACTCAGCAGAACAGCTTTACATTATTTGCTGCAAAGATGTTATACAAAGGCATTGCCTTGGGATATTTTATGGTTTAAGGAATCTCTGCAAATGTTAGTTATACTATTTTTGTCTTTGTTCCTAATCGTTGCTGCTGTCAAGTATGTTGTTAACAGGGTATTAATACTTCAGCGAAGCTACCAGCTCATCAGTTCTAACTACAGATGATTCTGTATCAAAAAGAAATTGAAGTGACTCTGATAGAAACAAATCCTGTGAGAATGATACAAAAAAACAACATGGAGGTATAGAGCTGGAAACCTGATAACGTGGCTAATATTTGTGTGATCATCCAAGTGGCTAATATTTGTGTCTTCATCCAATCATTTTAGGGAAAGAAAAGAGCAAAAGAAGAGACAGTAAAGGAAAAGATTCCATTTACAGCAGCACCTGCTTAGAAAATAATAAAACAATGCCATCTCCCTTCACCTATATCTGTTAAGAACTCTAAACTTTGAATGACCCTAGTAGGGCAAAACGACTTGGCTCTAACTCAATATTTTTTCCTGACCTCTGAAAAATAGAACCTTTTAAACCAATTATGTAACAGTACTGTGGATTCACTCTGACCTATCCGGAGTGCTAGCTTTTAATCCATAATGAACACAGCCACGATGAAACTCCACCTCCCAACATTTAAAAACACTGAAATTTCTCCCTCAGTGAACAACTTGTGAAACTTTTTCAGTGATGCCTGTAGTAACTCAACCTTTTCACTTCTTTTCTTAAGTAGTCTTCTTGGTAGTTTTTGTTTTACATTAGAAACAAAACAAGAATACTATATATGAAAACCAAAATTCTGATCATAGCAAATCCATTGTATTTAATGACTTTATCATTGAAAGAAAACATTTGAAAGATAAAGACACAACGTCTTCAACCCAAGCTTGAAAAAATATAGCAAAAAGAAACACAAAGGCATAAATAAATACATTGGAAAACGGTGAAACTGTGATAATACTTGTGAAGCGAGTTAGGGCTCAGTACCTGTGAGCCAGGATTCATGATTGCTGCTTCCTTATTCTCCTCCAATGCACGTTCCATCTCACCTTGTCCCTGGCAGCTTCTCACGAGCTCTATTGCATTTTTTTTTTTTTAAAGACAGAGTTTTGCTGTTATTGCCCAGGCTGGAGTGCAATGGTGCGATCTTGGCTCACTGCAACCTCTGCCACCCAGGTTCAAGCGATTCTCCTGCCTCCGCCTCCCGAGTAACTGGGATTACAGGCACCTACCACCACAGCCTGGCTAATTTTTTTGTATTTTTAGTAGAGACAGGGTTTCACCATGTTGGCCAGGCTGGTCTCAAACTCCTGACCTCAGGTGATCGACCCACCTCAGCTTCCCAAAGTGCTGGGATCACAGGTGTGAGCCACTACACCCAGCTGCTCTATTGTACTTTTTTAAACTGACAGCGTGATTTACCTGTTTAAAGAAACATGCCTTTGTGTAGGTTATTTTTATATTGAGGTATATTTTTATTTTTATATATTGAAATGGTTATTTTTTAATTTAGAAGGAAATACTTTTTTTGTAAATGCCTGATCTTTTATTTGAAAATAATTTCAAACAGAAAGTTGTAGGTGCAGTAAATGTAACACTGATGCAGTACTTTTAATAACTTACCATCGGTATTCTAATTTGACAATTGACTTGATAATGTGTTTTATAACTTTTTTTTTTTTTTTTTTTTGCCTTCTAGTATGGGATCCAGTCTAGGATTAGGTTTAGTTGTCATGATTCTAGTATCCTTTAACCTGGAATATTTTTCTTAGGGTTTTTTTTTCCTTTTCTGTCTTTTAAGAACAGGATCCTCCTTTTTGGTAGCTGAATGTTTTATTCGGGGGTTGTGTGAGGGGTATCACATTTGGTAGTGCCTGATTTCTGCCTTGTACTGTTACCAGTTTCTCTTGTCTCTGACAATTTAAGGCCGTGCATCCGTTAATGATTCTTGTCTAGACTGGTTTTTACCCTAATAGTTACAAAGCTGTAATTTCCAATGCCAACACTCCCTCCACATTTTCCAGTCAGCACTAGGCATTCAGGTAGGATGCTATTTTATGAAAGGAAATACAGTATTCAGGTAGCAGTGAGAGAAGGACAGGCAAATCACTGATCCCATTGTCACCAGAGCTATTCAGAGGTGCAGGGAGCTGTGAGAGCTTGGAGAAGGGAATATGGGGTACAGAGTGGCAGGAGGCAAGGTCAGGGCTACATAAGCTTCCTCGCCTGCCTGGCCAAGGTGTCTTGACTCGATCCTTCATGTGGCTGAGCTTATAAAATCATAACAACATAAAACCTGCCAGCTGAGAAAAGAAACCTTATCAGTTTTTAAAATTTTAAATATGATAATTTCCGTCCCCCTCCCTTCCGCCATCCATGGGGGATATATCCAAGACTGATTGCCTGAAACCTTGGATAGTACCAAATCCCATATACTGTACATACGTTTTTTGCTATACAAAAAAAAACTGAAGATACAATTTAATTTATAAATTAGGCACAGTAAGAGATTCATAACTAATAATAAAATAGAACAACTATAACAATATACTGTAACAAAACTTATGTGGATGTGGTCTCTCAAAATATCTTATTGTACTATGCTCACATGTTTTCAGACTGTGGTTGTCCCTGGGTAACTGAAACCTCAGAAAGTGGAACTGTGAATAAGGAGGACTACAGTACTGCATCCACCTGTCCATATATTTAGTATTTTTAGAATGGATTGTCCCTTAATAAGTTAATTTTTTTACCATATTCATAATTGAGCAAGTCTGAGCATCTCGTTAATATTTTTTAATGACAATAAAACCAGCAGCAGTGAGGGCAGATCCTAAAGAATGAAGAGATTAAGGGCAATAAGGAAGATGAAGAGAGTCAGGGACGACTGTAGCTCTGGTCAAGACGAAAGAAATTTATTATCAGTGGCAATAGGGAACCATTAGAAAACCATCTAATGTAGACCAGAGCTTCTCGAAGTTCAATATTCTGGGGATCTTGTTATGATGCAGATTCTGATTCAGGGGCCCTGAGCTTTCCAGTAAGGAGGATGCTCCTGCCCCAGGACCATGTTTGGAGATGTTGGTCCCCAGGATGTACATTGCAAGTGACGGGTCAGGTGTGGATAAAGCAAACCAAGGCAGCAGCTGAAGGAGGTTTGTGCTAGAAATGCACATCAAGATACTGCAGTCTTGATGAAATGAAATAGCCATCATCTAGTGATTCCTTTGGGAATTTGTCCCCTAGTAGTTCTGTGAGGGCCCAAGGATCCCGGTCTGCCTCAGTCTCAGGCACAGGCTACTATTTTTGAAGTTCTTTTCAGGAGCCTGATACTGTGGTTTACTCACATCATCTCACTGAGCCCTCCAGACAGCCAAATGGAGATGAATTCCTCTTCACGGACAGGACATGGAAGCTCTGTTTTAGTGAGTACTTTGCCTGACATCCTGCAGCCGGTAAGTTGTAGAACTCAAATCTGAACCCTTCTGACTCAGAAACTCTGTTCTTGCCACCTCTTAATTAGGTGCCCACCACAAACACATGGCTCATGAAATGAATGCCCCGTGCTCCCTGCCCTCCAGTAGCACTGAGTCTAAAGGGAAGGATGTGTCGCAGGTGATTACCATCCAGCCATGTTGGTGGAGAAGAGTACCACCAAGGTATTAGCTTTCCACTCTGCAGGCTCTTTGGTTAGAACTGTTAAAAATGCCCTTTTGCAAAGCAGAACCTTGAACATTGAATAAGTTGGTGTAACATATTTAAAGGTAATAAATGATTACATCTGCCTTATTTCTTTTCATTCCAACATATTATGACAATTTTCTAATATAAAAGTAGAGAGAATCATGCAGTGAATATCCAGATGCCCACCATAGTTATATTTAACTATATATCTTTTGTTATACTTTTGTCATCCCTCTATCCATCCATCAGTTCATCCACTTTTTTGATGCATTTCAAAGCTGCAGACTTCAGTTCACCGCTAAATCGTTCAGCATACATATCAGTAGAGTTCAATATTTGTTTATGGTTTTTAAAATTCAAAACATGCAACAAAATGTACAGATCTTAGGTGTACTATTCAATGAATCTTGACAAATGCAGACACCCGTGAAATCCAAATCCTTCTCAAGATGAGAATATCCTCGCCATTCTGGAAGGTTTCCTCATGCCTCTTCCCAGTCAAACTCAATTATGTTGCCTCAAAGGCAGTCACCAAATTAGTGATTCCTGTTCTAGAACATCACATAGATGGAATTCGCTTTTTTTTTTTTTTCCTTTTAGAAGCCTGTGGTCTTAGCAAAGAGTTGCAAACGTTCGACACATCCTTACTAGGCTCCAGCTATCTATCTGTAAGAATTTGTTGATAAGGTATGTTTGTTTCAGTGGAGTAGCAAGAAGGCTTGAAGGACTGCCAAGGGCATACCCTTCATATCAAGGCACCCACATCAACGCACTAGATGAAAGAGCATCACAATCCCATGCAAGGGCAGAGTGAGCCCCCCAACCCAGGCTGGGAGATTAGTGGGTTACAGCAGATGGACCCAGCCTAGGGATCTTTGGCTTCCAGGTATCCCCAGAATTGCCTTTGAACTCCACTATTATTTTTAGTATTTCAAAATATCAAATTGAAATGAGACATTAATCTTCCATGGGGCTGCACAGACTAACAAAAGTACTTTTTTTCTTTCTACTTTTGATTGTTATTGTAGAATTATAGTAGCGAACATTTCTGGCATATTTATAATGTATCAGTCACTGTTTCAAACATTTCACATTTTAAATTTTAAATTTCATTTGATAATATCAGTAACGTAACATCTCATACATGGTCATTGTTTCTGTACTTTTTAAAATGAGAAAATGCATTTTTATTCTAAAAGTGTGATTTCCTTGGCAGACTAAAAACCTTCAAATATGAGGCCTGTGGAGAAAAATAATGAAAGGAATGGCTGGACTAAATAGAGGTAAGTCTCTCTTTGATTCTTAAGGAAATCTATGCTTGGGGAACCTTTGTTAACATGTATTGAAAATGTGACTAGTGACATTACAGGAAGTTGAAGGTATAAATCATAAGAAATTGGCACTATAGATTTGTGATTAATTGTTCTTGATTTTTACAAAGGCACAAGAGACTGGAGTTATGAGTTCATTTTCCTCTCGTTACTGAGGGGTCTGGGCCTGGGAGTCCGGTTTCTTCCTCTTTCGAGATTTAACCAATTGTGTGACTGTGGATGAGGCATTTGACCTCTTTGGGCCTCAGTTGCCCACGTGTAATGTGTGGTTTGAACTAGTTGTCTCTAAAGCCCTTTCCAGGAATGAAAAGTCTGTGGTTCTCTGACGTTTGCTCCAAAATGCTCATCCGCTGAAAGCCTTGCCCTGGCTCCTTGGGCTTCAGCCCTTTGAACAGAAGAGGGCGCCCTAAACATGGTGATTCCTTCCTTTCCCTGCGGGCCCTTTTGGCAATTTAGGTAGAGGACCGGTGCAAGTGTTCTCAACAGTCAGGATTCGGTTGTCCAGAGGCCAGCATTTTCCCTGGACAATGGGTAGCTAAGGCCTCAGAGGAAGCCACTGACTTTGCATCTTTCCAAATCTTGTGAGGTTGAAACTTTTAATTATATTTTAACTATGGATATAATTGAAGAAGATGGAAAAAAGACACTACTATAATTCCATAGTCAGTTACTGCTCTAAAATAAAATGCAGATAAGTAATATAGCCATTCTCATTCTTTTTGACTGGAGGGGGTGGGGTATGGACGTGTCACATCTTGTCTTAGGGCTCTCAGGGTATGGCTTCATTTATTCATTCCATATTTTCCGAGGGTCTACTTGGTGCCAACTACTGTTTGTTTATAGCATCAACCAAACAAAGCCCTTGTCCCCATTGAAGCTAATATTGTATGAGCATTTTCAAAATGGTGGGCTGAAATGGATCCTCAGGCCTCGAAATGCATGCATGCAGCCACAGTTGAGCTAACCAAGGGTGTGAAGCTTGCAAACACCAAGTAGTTTCCAAAGGAAACTGCCCAGAGACAGAACATCTTCTTATAAGGAGTTTTGCCACTAGCAAAATGGAGTAATTGGGAAAATGGCTGTTGAACAAGTTAAATGTACAGATACAACATTCTTTCCTTCTTTGTTTTTTTTCCCTGAGACAGAGAGTCTCGCTCTGTCGCCCAGGCTGGAGTACAGTGGCGCAATCTCCGCTCACTGCAACCTCTGCCTCCCAGGTTCAAGCGGTTCTTCTGCCTCCACCTTCCAAGTAGCTGGGACTACAGGTGCATGCCACCACGCCCGGCTAGTTTTTGTATTTTTAGTAGAGACGGGGTTCGCCGTGTTGGCCAGGCTGTTCTCAAACTCCTGACCTCAGGTGATCCACCCACCTCTACCTCCCAAAGTGTTGGAATTACAGGCGTGAGTCACTGTGCCTGGCCTAACATTCTTGAAAGAAGACAAGAAAGCTACCTGCGTTTGTCCACACTGCTCAGTCTCAAGGTAATAAAGGGAATGGAAGGCTTGTTAGTATTCAGGCAAATGCAGCAGCTAAAGCGCCTGTTACGGGCAACAGCACAGGCTGCAGAGTGAGGCTGCCCAAGTTTCAATGCAAGCTCTGCCACTCACTTTCTGGCTGAACTGGGGGAAGTTTCTCAACCTGCATGAGGTTCTGTGAGTCATGTGGGGATTCAATGGGTCCACATATTTAAGCCATCAGAACGGTGGCCTGGCACACAGTAACTGCTCAGTAAATGTTCACCATACTTATCAATGTGATCATCAGTACAACCTTAAATTGGTTCAGTTCCTGATTTCTTTTCATCCTGACTAAATTCTTTTAAATCTTAGGTTAAAAGGCTAAATAAATTTGCCTAGTCAGAACAAGAGAAAGGTTTGTTGAGCATCTGCTATTCTGCTCTTCTAGGAACAAGGATTTGACGATAAACGAGATAGAGCTTGTCTTCTCAGGAGCTTACAACAGACAATAAACACATTAAAAAGCAAACAAACAAGTTGAGATGTAGTGGATTTGACTAGTATTTCTCTCTTTGGAATGAATTATAACCACATTAAAATCTTACTTGTGATGTTCTTGATGTTACATGTTCATGTAAGAGAACATCTTCCGCTTAAGGAATTGATGTATGAATCCTAGCAAAAAACTGAGTAAGTCAGGATATCTTCTGACTTTCTTTTCCAGTTCCACAAGATGTAAGCAGAAACTGGAGATGCTACACATTCTCTTTTGGTAGAAGACCATTGCACTTGACTACAACAAGATTTTAAGCCTGATTTTTATATCTCGAATTGTTTTTGTTCACAATTCAAACTGGCTGAAGACTGAATTCCAGGCTAATATTCATAGTGTGGTTCCAGCAACTGGAAAATGGATTGTGTTTCCTTTCAGCCTTCTAATTCCTGGATGAAATGAGTATACAGTCACGTACCACATAATGACATTTCCTGACTGCATATATGACGGTGGTCCCGTAAGATTACAAATACCGTACGTTCACTCTACCTTTTCTGTGTTTAGGTATGTTTAGAAACACGAATGCTGTGTTTGGATACGTTTAGACACACGACCACTTAGCATTATGTTACAGTTGCCTACAGTTTTCAGTATAGTAACAGGCTGTCCAGGTTTGCAGCCCAAGAGCAATAGGCTCTACCATACAGCCTAGGTGTGTAGTAGGCTCTGCCATCTAGGTTCGTGTAAGTCACTCTATGATGTTCGCACAATAAAGTTGCTTAACGATACATTTCTCAGAATGTTTCCCAGTCATTAAGCAACACGTGACTGTATGTTACTGCTGTTATGTTTCGTAGCAGCCGACCATCTTCTGCAGGAAGGAAGTAGCCCAGACAGTATCTTTGTGCAAGTTAGAAAAAGATGCCCCCTTCCTTAAGGCATTTTTCTGCCATCTACCTGAAATATTTTATGACACCTATTCATTTCTACAAATATTCAGTGCACACCCTGCTCAACCGTATCAAACGAGAAGCAGAAGAACAATTTATATTACAACTTTATTTTTAATTGCCTTCTCTTTACCCTTTCGCCTTGTGACCAGCGTGACAAAACACATTCTTGTCACCTCCAGGCAGACAAAAAGATGCATACCAGGGATTAGTAAGTCTATACCAGATCCTAGGAATGGAGTACATCCTTGGGAGGGGGAGAAGACAGTCAGTTAATATCTAGATGACCACAACAAACCAGCAAGGAAGTACAATTGCAACTCCCTCCAAAACCCAAAGAACCCCCAAAAACAAAATCAAAAAATGTCTCAGTCTGACCTGGCACAGGGCCATCTTTGTCAGCTGCCAGATTAGCTTTCCTGCTTTTATCCATCAATAGAATGAGTCTCGCTCCATTGTTTTGCAATTACAATGGCCCTGTGATCTCTTGAATCAAAATTGAACTTTGTCTTCTTGTGTGAGAGAATACAAGATCCACCCCATATCAGTTTTCTGGAGCTCCAGATCCATTCTCCAATGCTAGGCAGACGTCTCTGCTAGACGACCATTAGGCACCTTAAGCTCGGCATGCCTCACACTCACCCCATCCTTACCCTTCCCAAACCTCTTTCTCCTCCTGTAGTCCCCACATCTCCATGGACTTCATGACTCTTCTCTCAGTTTCACAAATGATTAAGTACCTTCTTAGAGTTCCTTTCTCTTCACCTGACATCACATCAGTTTCCACCACCTGCTGCGTGCTCTGCATGTGGACATCTGCCGGGATCTCTCTGTTGCCATTGCTTCAGCATTGGATGAAGCCTTGGGCCCTTGTCATTTCTCCCTGGGACTAATGCAGTGGCTTCTCAGCTAGTGTTTTAGCCATTCCCAAGTCTCCTCACCTCTTTTCAATTTTCTGCTCCCCTGTTACCTGAACAGAACTGGGACCATTTACCCGCACTACTTATAAACCTCTAGTGGCTGCCTACTGCCTTCAGGATCAAATCTCCACTCTGTTCCAGTCTACCCCAAGCTGCCACTAGTTTTAACCACTATTCACTGCTCTCTTATCTGCTTCTCCTCCCTATCCCATGGTATTCCCTGCCACTTTTCACTACTTAGAATTTGAGAATTCCCTCAAAATACTGTGCATCAAGCCTCCTGTACTTCATGGATTGAATACCACCACCTTCTTCCTCCGGCAAAGTTTTTTGTTTGTTTGTTTTTGGTTTGTTTTTTCACAGGGCTCTCTCTGTTGGCCAGGATGGAGTACAGTAGCTCAATCTTGGCTCACTGCAGCCTCAACCTCCTGGGCTCAAGCATTCCTCCCACCTCAGCCTCCCAGAGCGCTGAGATTACAGATGTGAGCCACCGTGCCAGGCCCCTCTGGCAGCTCTTATTCATCCTTCAGGTTCAGCACAAGTGTCACTTCTTCTTTGAAGTTTCCCCGCCCCCCCACCCTCTTCCTTTGATTTTCCTAGCACAGTTTATAAACTTCTGTCTTGATACTTTTGTCATGATGTGCTGCAACATGTTTCCCCTCCCAGGGGAGGTGCCTGGTCTCATTCTTTCCCTAAGGCACTCAGATCTGACTCGGTAAGGACTGTACTCAAGGGTTGGTTGAAACCTTGAAATGGAAAGATAAGGACAATGAGGCAGGCAGGTGGTTCTGTGGGCTGTTGAGCAACTCTTGATGAGCTTCGGGGACACAAGTGAGGGGACTGCGGGTGCCCTGGTGGCCACTAGTTGTTTAGACAACTGGAAAACTCAGATTGTTAAAAATCACAGTTTTCATCAGAATGTTTTCTTCTTTGTACACATGACCTTTTGCACTTCTAATGAAACTGGGCCTTTACAAAATGAAATAAAAGGATCTGTGCTATTATTGACTATAAAGTGATCATCTTTAAAAAGACAGACACTAAGAAAAAAATTACTAATTCAGTTAATTGAAAGTTCAGAGTTCTAGAATTGATTTATGGGTTCCAGCAAGGATCAGATACTAAATGATTAGGTCTTTTATCGTCTTCCAACTTATTGTTTAAAATTGTTACAAAGGTGAATTCAGGCTGGGCATGGTGGCTCACACCTGTAATTCCAGCACTTTGGGAGGCCTAGAAGGGTGGATCACTTGAGGTCAGGAGTTTGAGACCAGCCTGGCCAACATGGTGAAACCCTATCTCTACTAAAAATAATAATTAAAAAAATTAGCTGGGTATGGTGGCACATGCCTGTAATCCTAGCTACTCAGGAGGCTGAGGCAGGAGAATTGCTTGAACCTGGGAGGTGGAGGTTGCGGTGAGCCGAGATCGTGCCACTGCACTCCAGCCTGGGTGACAGAGCAAGACTCTGTCTCAAAAAAAAAAAAAAAAAAAAGTGAATTCAATCTTGCTTATATATTTTGAGTTCCTTGGAGCTCAACAGTCTACTGAAAATATAAGATAAATGAGTTTCATTATCTTGCCTGCTTAAATTTATTGATGCAGGGGTAGAAGCAGGAGAAGAAAAATAAGAAGAAAAACAATTAATTGATGCGCAATTTTGTGGGGTTTTTTGCCAGGGAACAGATTTTTCCAGAACTGTGTCTTTTTTTTTCTTTTTTTAAAGAAACAGGGAGGTTATCTTGGATTATGACTAATTAGATTAATTTTAAAAACAAAATATATATTCATTATAAATATGCTCATTTATATAAGAAATATATTTATATATTTATAAGTTCATTCTGTTATATTAGTGTGACAACATGCCATAATGTACATAGACAGCTAGCAGCCATTTATCAGGGGCTTACAGTGTCCTGCTCAGCTGAGCCCCTGGGATTCAAAGTAGGGGGACCCTGCTCCTGGACCCAAGTTGCTCATAGTCTCATTGGGGAAATGACAAGGTAGAAAAAAATAATCACAAGGCAATGTAGTACGTGTGAAAAGGCCTTTAACATTCTGTTGGCCCACAAAGTTCAGTCAGATATTCTCTGCTGATGCAGAGGCACATGTCACAAAGGGGGACACAAGCTGGCTCCAGGTGTGGCCAAAAAAGTGTGCAGTAATGTCCTCTAGTATATATTTTTTCCCTTTTTCTCTGTTCTAGCTTCTCAATATGATGTCTAGTCTAATCAAGCAAATTCACAATTAAGCAGGTGGAAGTTTAAGAAAGGGACCTCAGAAGTCTGGTTTGGGCCGGGCGCGGTGGCTCACGCCTGTAATGCCAGCACTTTGGGAGGCCGAGACGGGTGGATCACGAGGTCAGGAGATCGAAACCATCCTGGCTAACATGGTGAAACCCTGTCTCTACTGAAAATACAAAAAAATTAGCCGGGCGTAGTGGTGGACACCTGTAGTCCCAGCTACTCGGGAGGCCGAGGTAGGAGAATGGCATGAACCCAGGAGGCGGAGCTTGCAGTGAGCTGAGATAGTGCCACTGCACACCAGCCTGGGTGGCTGAGCGTGACTCCATCTCAAAAAAAAAAAAAAAAAAGAAGTCTTCTGGTTTGGCCCATTCTTTTATGATGAAGGTTCTAGCTATAGGGACTGGGGTTTGTGTGAGGTAACCCAGGTGATTGCACAGTGCCAGCCCTCAAAGCCAGGTCTAGGGCTCCATCCCACTTTCCCAAGATGCCCCGAAGTGTTCAGGTGTCTACTAGAAAAGCTTTGCATTACTGGGACAGGTGGAAACCAAACTCTAAAATCAATGACTAGAGAGATGCTTTCAATTTTATTTTAAAACTGTGTTTTGATTATATTTGTAATGAACCTTTCAGACTTAGGAAAGAAGCTTCATATTACAACAGGCTGACGTGTTTTCAGCTCAAGAGTAGAGACTTCTGTCAATCATGTGGGATCATGAGTGCCTCAAGTGTTGGAGGTCCATGCATTGACCAAGAAGAACTCCAGCTGCTTCAGACTGCTTGACTGTCACTGAAAAGTACACCCAATATGAAGAAGATTGCAGTTAACTGAATATTAAAATTAGATGTCTTGATGAGGCAAATCATTTCAACATATTTCTTCCCTTTCTCTGATTTCCTCTCATGTGTATTATAACAACTGTAGTAGCAGAGGGCTCCAGAAGGAACTGCTCTCACCCTTACCTGCACTGTTTTGTTGAAAAGGAATGTTTCTGATTTTATCTCCTCATTTTTACTACTTCTTGTTATCTTTTTTTTAAGTTTTATTTTCCTGGTACAACACGTGAAGGACCTCAGGGCTTTTGGCATGTGTGTTAGCCAGAGATGTTCTACAGTTTCTTTAGTGATATGAGACAATCTTCTTTTCTTCTTCTTCTTTTGGAGAGAGCGTTTCAAGCCCTGAGGGCTTAATATTGCCATTTTCACGTTTGGATGGAATTTTTCCAAATGTCTTGTGAGCCTTGCCAGTGGTGGCAAGCTGTAATTGGTCAAAAATGAAAGTGAAAACTTAATGAAAACTAAGTTTCCAGTCTCATCTTTATGGCCAATTTCCCAGGTAACCTTGAGACAGTCCTAATTGCATGAGGCATAGTGGGAATGATAATATCTTACCAATGGATAGGCTTGTTGTATAACTAAATGAAGTCACATCTGCAAATCATCTCAGCTTCTTAGAAAAGGATGGTATTATGGAGCCGTGATGATTACAGCAACCAAGGCTCTAACTATTTGTAGTGATATCTGCTCTTGTCTTGTCTGTTTCATTATAACCAGCAGCTTTTTAAGGGAAGTCACAATGGGGTGCAATGATGCACTGTCCTTACAACTATTCTTTAACATCCTGGTCCTGGCATGTCCTGGTAGGTTCATTCCTGTATTCCACAACG